AAATCAACAAGGCGTCGAAAAAGTTATTACCGGCGAAGATGTACTTTACATTCCATCTTTCAAAGGAAACTGTCTGTGAAGAAAATGTCATCAAGAGGTTTTAATTTTTTTTTTATGATACAAACTGTAAAATTTTAGATCTATACAATACTGAATGGTGTTGCTAAGTGCATTAATAATCTATATCATTTAACAACTTAACCATGTCACAAAGCTAATAACGTTTTATGTAACTTGAATCAATTTCGGCATTATTATCATAAACATTTTGGACACAGAGATTTCAATGCAGTAAAAGCCAACAGATATTTGTGTCCCTATGCAAAGTATACCTGCTAGAAAGAAAAGGTATTTTATAATTTTCATTGACGATTTTAGCTGCTATACTGTTGTATATTTAATGAATGAAAAATATGAAATTTTTGATAAAATGAAGATATATGTATGTATATCGAAATGTTTAAAAATTAATTTGGAAAGGTACTTAAATATATAAGGTCGGTTCCATATTGTCCACAACAGAATGGAGTAGTTGAAAGAAAAAATCTTGTGGAAATGGCTCGTTGTCTACTAAAAGAAGCTAATTTACCAAAATTGTATTGGATGGAAGCTATTGCTACGTGTTGGCAAATATTTGAAAGGTACAAGAAACATATATTTAAACCTTAGTGAAAATGGTTCCGGTTCTAATTTACTTGTTGGCTATGCGGATGCCAAATGGGCAGAATGTACAATCAACAGAAAATTCAATTCATGATATATTTTCTTGCTAAATAATAGTGCAGCTAGTTGGACTTGCAAGAAACAATTAGCAGTGTCATTATTAATAACGGAAGCAGAGTTCATTGCATTGTCCGAAGATGCTCTTTAAAAGTGTTTTTTTTAACATTGTGTCTAACGGTAAAGCCCTTACTACACAAAGAGCGAGCCAGAAAGAAAAAGGATTGGAAGACACATAAAACACTCACTATCTTGACAAGATGAGTAAGTAACCTTTAGTTATACATATCTTTAAAACCATAACTTCCCATGACTGGATACCGAAGTATTAGTTACAGTAAGCTATAGTCATGAGGTGTATTTAAGCAATTGCATCACGACAAGATAGTTAGTTACCTTTGGCGAAGGTTGCATCGGTATAAGAAATAATGGAAAAATAAACGTGAGGTAATTTTTGCGGATTTTCAATACCAAATTTCCAAGTGAAAGATTATAGTTAATTTCACGTCAAATTATTTAATAATTCATTTAACCCTTCTAACACAGAGTCTAAGAATTTTGCACTCAAAATTTGAAAATTACAGTAGGTGAAATCGTAAACCAAATTAAGAAAGCATAAAGTAGTACTGGCCTAATACTTACTTTATAGATTAATAATTTGGTCTTTTCTGGCAGATATTTACTATTGAACATTCTTCCAAAAGAAATTTTTATACCTCTAGCTTTGTTAAGAAATGTTCTAGCATGTTGATTAAATTTAAGAAGTTTATTGAAGTGAACGCCCAAATATTTTAGGTTATCTACAATTGGGATTTCGTGACCATCTAAATATAATTTAAGCTGTTTACTTTCAGGAACAACAAAATTCCTACATTTACCAGATGCATTTCTTAAACAAATGGCTTGACTTTTGGACACATTTATTTTTATTCCCCAAAATTTGTAATAGCTATTAACGTCATTTAGATATAATGATATCGAATTTAGGGTATCCTTTGGGGAGATACCGTGAGTATAGAGTAACAAGTCATCAGCATATAAAATACCAGTTGAATTATCAAATTCATGTGTTAAATCGTTAATAAATACATTATATAGATGAGGAGCTAAAATTGAACACTGAGGTACACCACATTTAACATCACCAAAATCAGAATATTCATTTTGTAATTGAACGCAGAATTTTCTATTTTCAAAAAAGTATTGTATTAGTTTAATGATAAATAGATCAAAACTAATGTTAATCATTTTAAATATAATTCCATCGTGGTAAGCATGATCAAAAGCTTTTTCTATATCGAGAGAAACAGCAACAGTACATTTTCTTTCCCTTAAATTTTTAACAACGTCATTTTGGAATTTTAATAGATGGAGAGACATTTTTTAAAACCAAATTGATAATTTGGAATATAAGTATTTTCCATATTCATTTCCATCTTAACTCGAATTATTTTTTCAAAAAGCTTTCCTAAATTAGATTGCAAATATATATGTAGGTCTAACATTATTAAGTTCTTTTTTTATTTTGAAATAATATGTCACTTTTCGATGAAAACATTCAATTTGAATGGATAGCCCAAATAAGTATTTGCTTATCTTAGACACATCGCAGTGTTGCATAAGCAAATCTTGTTCGAAAAAATACATTTTCGACATGTTTTAAATCAAATCTAGTAGATTAACTTCTTGAAATTTTAACAGTACCTTCCTGTATATGTGGAAGGAACTATAGGCTACTTTTTATTTTAAAATTTAACGCCTACTTATTAAATAACTATTAAAAGTCATATATCTTGGAAGCTGGTACAATTAGAGTCCTCAAATTTTGCACGGACAACTTTGACATTCATAAGAATATTTTTGGACAAAATGGGCGGAATGAATATAGTGGGCGTGGCACTTTCTATATTAAGAAAATATTAAATCAGTATATCTCAAAAAATGTAACAGTTAGAGCCCTCAAATTTGGTCGGAGCCACATACGATTAGTTAGGATAAAAAGTGGATGGACTAGCAAAAGGGGCGTGGCACCTCCCATTTTAATTAAATACACAAATTCGTTTATCTTGGAAACTATTAGAGTTAATAGCTTCAAATTATGCACGAAGAGCTTTAGCATCCATGTAAATATTTTGGGTAATAAATTGGCGGACTACCAATGGGGGGAGCAGCACCCAAATTCGTTTATCTTGGAAACTATTAGAGTTAATAGCTTCAAATTTTGCACGAAGAGCTTTAGCATCCATGTAAATATTTTGGGTAATAAATTGGCGGACTACCAATGGGGGGAGCGGCACCCCCATATGAATTAAATACAACAAAATATTTTATCTAAGAAACTAATAGAACTAGATTTCTAAAATTTTGGAAAAAGGACTTTCATATTCATCTGAACATTTTATGAATTATATAGGCAAATTGTTTATCTGAGATACTATTGACGCTAGAATCTTCAAATTTTACATGAAGAACTTTGACATTCATGTGAACATTTAGAGAAAAATGGGCGGACTTTCAATGGGGGGATTGGCCCCTCCCATATGAATTAAATACAATACAATATTATTTAATTTATAGAAATTTATTTCTTTTGTTGCTTTTTTTATTAAGTATAATGAAAAATAATAATAACTAAAATAAATAAACTATTCCTGAGCAATTATTAAAAAACATAGGGGCTTCATGTATGTCTGGAAGGAACTATAGGATACAAAACAAGTATTACAAGTCCTATATCTCAGAATGTACAACAGCTAGAGTTCTCAAATTTTGTATGGACAGCTTTAATCTCCACATAAACATATGGGTACAAAATGGGTGGCCTAGTTGTAGTGGACATGGCACATGTAGTTATTTAGAGGACTAGGAAAAAGGGAAGAGTGGAATCTCCCATATGAATTAAATACAAAATTTCGTTTATCTGGGAAATTATTACAGCCAGAATCTTTAAAATTTGCACAAAGAATTTGAACATTTGGGAGAAAATGGGAGGAATTTCAATAGTGGGCTTAGCACCACCCATATGAATTAAATACAAAAATTCGTATGTATGTATATCTGGGAAACAACATTTTTCATAGATTACATTAAAATCAAATTAACGTTTGGAAAACTTCCAATAGTTTGCATGGCATCTCCTATTAGAAGTAAATACAAAAAATCTTATATCTGGAAAACTATTAGAGCTGTACTGACCAAATCAGGACAAAAATTTTGAGAATTGGTGTCTTAGAATGAACTAAATTTTAATTTTCGGTTGGAATATCAGCAACTTTAATTTTAAAATATTTAAGGAATTTTCTGATGGAAAATTGATTTGTTTAAAGAGGTTTGTTTATCTTAACAAATTTAAGTTTTTTTCTAACAAAGCTAAATAATTTCTTATGATTTCAACAAACAATTTTGTAGTTCGTTATAAAAAAAGGGAAATTGTATGAAATTATACTTGATGGACTGAAAAGGCTTTTCGTTTTATCCGAGGATTCGTTATAACAGATATTTTTTGTATGAAAATAGTCACCAAAATATCGGGACTTGAAACATTGTTCGTAATAATCTAGAATTCGTTAAAATCGAAGACAAAGTAAAGACAAGAGAGGGCGTAACTTCCCATATATACCGTCATAAATCCAAAGAATCCAGCTAAAGTTTGATTGGTTGAGACGCACTAGTCAATTTAAAATAGTCATTTTAAACTCCTGCTATTAAAAGAGCCTGATTTGATAGTGCCACTACTTTCTGTCCAGTTTGGTTTACGTCTGAACACTTGATATAAATATAATATTAGGTACTGCAAGTTTTAACGTTTAATGCAGCATCTATTGCAAACATATAAATGCAGCAGAATTTAAGAATTAATTTTAAATCCCATAAATCCTATAGAATAAGTTAATGCAGATGTTACCTATCGGAATATCACTGATAATTCATGGGATTTTTTCATTGTAGAAATCCTAGCATAAGTATGTATGTATATCCCGATTACAAATTTAAAAAATCTAAATTAGCACATAATTTCATTAAATTCGTTCGTTATTATTTCGATAACTTTTATTTTATACAGTTAATGAATTTTTTGACAGTGTATTATTATATCTCATGCTGCAAATAAAATAAATTGAATTTCTTATCGTAATTGTTGGTGGCTTCATTCAATAAGAACCATATGAATACATGCGTTGCCTTTAATATTTAATATTTATAACTAGCTCTGCTTATAATCAGTGAAATGAGAGTAACTAACTGTATATTTTATTTATTTCCGAAACCCCGTTTAGTTTGCGAACATTTCTCGACGGATATAGTCGATATTTTTTATTTTTTTGAAATAGTAAAGAAAGCGAATTGAAAAAAAAGAAAGAAATCAAAGATCGTCTGGTGCGGCAGTATATAATATTTCAATTCAATAAGTGAAATGTAAGTGCGGGCGGACGAAATAGTGATAAAACTAAAACAACAACAAATTAAATGTTAATGAATGCAATCTTATTTTTTGTTAAATTCAAACATTAAAAACAAAGAATAAGCTCTCTTATGAAAAAAGTGTGTTTTTGTGTTTTTGTGATATACATATAAAAATTTTGTGGTAACAAGGTGTGATAATAACAGCGAAACTGCCTTATCGGCTGATATTCAAACATATTTTTGCATATCCGTTTGTTATATACATAAATACATATGTATGTGTGGAAAGATGAATCATTTGTTTAAATTAAAACTGCAATATTGTTTGAGAGAATCAAATTTGAAATACATTTGTATATGAGTGATCTGGTAAAAATTACACATTAACAAATGTCAAGATCAGTTGTGTTTGTTTGTTGATTTTTAAATTGTGTCGATAACAAAGAAATGTATATAAAATACGTACATACATACATATGTATGTATGTATATAAGACAAGTTTGATATAATTGTTTTGTTGATTCTAATTGATAACAATGTGATATGAATTATTTTTACATTTTTTTATTTACTTATTTAATATAACAATTATTTGGCAAGTGACAAAAACATGAAAAAACAATATAAATTCTTTTGTACATTCATATATGTACATCTATATGTGTGTATGTAGGTACATACATACTTAAATACATACATATGATAATTTAAATTTTATGCATTTTGTGTATTTCTGTCAATAAATCAAATAAAACGTGAATAATAGTACCAATGGAATACCCTAATAGTTCGGTATAAAATGATATGGATACGGTTTTTATTTAAATTTATTTTTTTATTATAATTTCCAGCTATAAGTATTTAAATTAATTTGTAATTACAAACTATAAATACTTAGAATATCATAAAGCTATTTTGCATTGGCTAGTTGATGAAAAAAATACTATAGTTCTTTAAAATTGTTTTCATTAAATATTGAATCGTCCCTGTCGGATTTTGTGAGTTAACTAAAATTCAAGTTAACTTTTTGTTAACTTATTAATGACTAGCCTTAAAGTAGCTCAAAAATGATCGAGGAAATGAACAAAAATGTCAATAAAATTTTAAATAAAAAATTATATAGAAACTCATAATAAATTTGTCAAACAATTTGTATTGAAAAAAGTAAATTATGAAAATGAAAATTTGTTTTAGCAATGAAAAATGAATTTATTATTAATAAATTAACATTTTCAGGAATATAAGACGTAGATAATGGTGTATATAGAAAGGAAATGTTGCTGCATATGATTGCATTTACAATCAGTTATAATTTGCTAAAAATAGTATAAAAATATAAGAAAATTGCACATTTGTGCACTAGAAGCTAACTCATTATGAGGTAACTTCTGGTTAACTGAAACTGATGTATCGTGAGTGAGTACTGACTCGTTCCTATGGCATCACATTGAAAACTGAGTAGTATTTTATAAGCAAAATGGTTAGCTTTTGAGTCACCTCTGACTCATTTGTGGTTAACCATAAGTTAGTTTTAAGTTAACTCAAAATCCTACTGGGGTAATACATATTATGGTTTTTAGATCAAAAAAGTATTTTGATATGTTCGTGATCAGACAACGTTTGAGTCATCAAACTTCGTAATTTGGAAGGAAATGTCTTATTGAAAATCGAATTTAATAAAACTCAACAAAAACAAACAAATTAATGAAAAAACTTGAAGGAGTCCAGAGAGACCGACTCACAAAAAAATGGTGCTTGTGTTACCCCCTTCCAAATAATCGCTGTTATGTAATATGATGTTACTCAAAATATTTTGGGCTGGACAGTTTTCAAGAAAATATCGTATGGGGGACAAAATTTTTCATGTTCAATTCAATATTTTACCCAGCTTCAAAAAATCTTTGTTTTGAGGTGGACCAATTACAAAAAAGTCCCTTTTTAGTTATTTTTTTAAATTTTACACTTATTTCTTAAACAAAATATACAATATGTAGTATCATTCGAAAGTTTTTTTAATGTCAGGACTAGTGGTTTGCAAAATTTGCATACATTGTGCATACATTTTATTTTTATTAATTAGAAACTTAACAATTTTAAATATTTTGGAATATGAAAATTATGAGCAGACGGTTATTTATGATTAATACATCATTGTTATATCCGAAATAGTATCACTCCCAAGATATTTGGATCTAATTCGACAAAAGCCTGACAGTGGCAAAGAAAATGCTCCAGAGTTTCACTGTCCTCTCCACATGCTCTACATTCGTCTGAAACCGCACGTCCAATTTTGTATAGCTGTGCCTGTAATCCTATGTGTCCATTTAGAATACTTACGTACCATCATACTAACCTCAGACTTGCTCATTTTGAGGAGTTTTCTACTCTTGCTCTCATTAGGATCTTTGTAGTTCTACCCACCTTTTGCTTATTCCAAGAGGTCTTATGGGATTCTCTCACCCATACTTTAAATACAGAATTCATTGCGTCGAATGGTTTTGCGACCTTTCGTTGCCGATTACTCCCGAGTGGCTTGGTACCCATATGATGTACACCTTATCTCTGGCAGAGTATGCAGTTAAAGCTTTCATACAATCCAATACGGTTTTAGATTAAGGTTTATCACTTGAGGAACAACCTTTTTAAGAATCTCATGTTAGAATACCTGGTCATCTGAATTTAAACTAAATTTTTACTTATCAAATATATATATACATGAAAACTTGGGTTTTAGTTTTGACATTCACTCGCACACCGACAATAATTGACTTTTTTGAAAGTGCTCAGTTCAAAAAACCTCAATTTCGGAAAAACGCCAGTCTAGTGGTTAATGAGCGATATATAAATATCTCATTTTATTATACCTAATACCATCTTCAACTTATTTCGTTTGAAAGTGGACGCATACTATTTTTAAATTAAGTGGTTCTTACATACGAATACTTTTTTAAAGTTTGATTATAAAACATTTATTTATTCAATTGTTGGGAATAATTTTAAATCAGATATATTAAGTATATTTTTGAAAAAAAAAAAAAACATATTAGGAAATAATATACATAGTTATGTATGTATATTTCATTTTCTGAGGGCATTTGGCATTTGAACGACTGTTTCTAATTTTTCGTTCTAAAAGTATTATTTGTATTTATTTTCGACTTTATCAAAATATTGTTTTTAAGTTTCTTTGATAAGACTCATTCAAGTGGCGTAAAATCAGGTGTAATGCTGATAATAGGCAACAATAAATAATAATTGATCATTTTCGAAAGAAATGTTGTGTTTTTTTATTATTATCTATAGACACATCTAGATACAATAATAGTGAAATGGAAACTCTACCTACATCGATCCCCTTTGCTAAAATATTACTTTCTCCATTAACAAATTTCAATATATAATTTCAGTTTATTGGCAGTTAATGCATTAATTCTGTTTGTCTCATTAGATTCAGTCACTTCCGATTACGCACACTTGTTTGCACATTCGAATATTTCACAAAATTATCAGTAGTTAATTCTGGGCTCTAGTTGCAAAAATTCAAATTAAACATTTATTAGAAAAAATGAAGGGAATATAGTTGAATAAATCTAACCCTACATTTTTCTTAATATTTTTATGCGATTTTCGAGTGAAATTGAACTTAAAGCAAATTTTACCAAAGCTTCTTCTACTGATATGTCAATAATTAAAATGCCATTACTGTTATTATATCCCAAAATTGGTAAAAAAATATTTTTTAAAGCCCTTTATCTCGAGAACTGTGCAAATAAATGTTTGTTTTACTCTTCAAAAGAATAGCAGGGTATTATTTATATCTATATGGTACGTAATCCAATATAATACTATTTTAAGTTCGAAATAATTCCGATTTATTAATTCAATGACAAAGCATTATGATGGATTTTCTTATGTTCCTATAATGTTTATTAGGGTGGAATGTTTAATCAATCACTTCGTTTTCTATATGTACAAGAACGTTGTTAATACAACAATAGAATGAATCACATTAAATAACATATTTATTTGATTTGTATGTATGTTCTTTCATAAAACATGCAATTAATTAACGAACAATCAGCTGCATATTGAAACCATGCAAAGTAATGATGAGGATATCGGTTAAGGCTACAAATCGGAAACTGTAGTATAATACTCAAAAAACCAATTTCCTGGGGCTAGAATGCTAAGGAAACATTAAAAAAACAACAATTATATAATTGAACAATAAGGGTTATTCGATAGAATGTGTACGTCAACGGTTAACTAAGTATGTAGAAGTATTTAAGAAGATAAGATACAAAAAAATTAAAAACGATTGCTTCTGAATTGTTGAGAGTTTTGTACACGTTTAGACATACATATGTATATTGGAGTGTCCCGAGGAACACCCTTTTGAAAAATCTCATATAGGAATACCTCTCAATCGATGCATATTAGGTCCAATATTTAGGTGGACGATTACTAATTAAATTAAAATTAATCTCCGAGAATTATTTTTGAGTACTCAGTTAGTTAATTTTGTTTGCTAGTTTAAGCGTTCAATGGAGGTGGTTTAAACTTGAGCAAGAAATACTAAAGTGTGAACAGTTGATGCAAAAAAAAATCAAAACAATTGTTAAAAAATAAACATTAAAATGTTTTATTTCTTGATTAGTATAAATTATGAAGAATTCAATATACAATTATTTCGTTTTTAACACTGAACACCGTTTTTAACTTTTCGTTAAAGTTCTCTTCTTCTTCTTTTTTATAAAACATGTATTGTCTTGATAGCAAACAGTGACATTTTATGTTATTTTGTATGGCAACACTGCGAAGTTCAAAATTGTAGTCAAAAATATCAAAGGGTACTAATCAAGGTAGATTAAGAAGGTATACTCATCAGCACAGCTGATTATCAGCTGCTTAAGGCCAATTTGTCAAAATGTTTGTTTACGTTACTATGGAAAATTTTAAAATTATTTGAATTTGAAAAATCTTTCAAAATAATTGTGAAATATTGTAAAAAAATAAATTTAAGTTTTATATTTTTTATTAATTCAATTAAATTAATTTAAAATAATGAAGATTGGAGAATAATAATATTGTGTGTGACTTCAATGTGGCACTCATTGCTTTTATGTACCCGGAGTTAAGACTTAACGTGACCTATGTTTGTGTGACACACAAACATAGCACGCATGCAATTTACCTACTTTTATCTGTTCTAGTTTGGCGATGATAATTTTAAATTAAAGAGCATCCCAGGAACTGGTTCTATAAAAGCTATATAGAAGCGACCTTTGTATAAACCACCAATTTAATCAACGAAGTTCGATACCTCTGTAAAAGTTTTAGGGACGCTTGATAACAGATGCACTCACATTCTTACCTACAGTTTTAGAATTAGTTTAATTTTCACCTATTTTTGTTTAGACTTGTTATGCAGATGAAGCTAATTCAGAGAAATTATGGAAAAATTATCATTCTGTTATGCTTTATCTGAAATTGTTACTTACATTTATCTAAAAAATCATGACTTGATGTTAAAATGCATTAACAACCACAAAAACTGAACGCTAAATTTTACGATATTCAATATTCCGGACACTTATTTACGTAAACATGGATGCAAATAAAGACATTTCTTATTCTTTCAGTTCTTATTTTAAATTTTTAAAACAAAAATCGCAAATTTCTGTTGTGTTTATTTATTGTTTTTCTATTACACACACACATTTTTTTGACAGTTTGGCCTATTTTACAATAACAAAATGCCTGTTGTTTTTGTATTATTGTATTTGTTGTAGCGACGAGACTACCTTGTTAAATATACCATGGTACTAACATTAGATAAAATTTATTTTTAGATTAACTAAAGGGAAAAATATATATATATCCCTACCAGCGACTGCTGACTTCAGTACAATTTGTGAACAAAAAATTCTTAAATTTTTTTGAAAAAATTTCCTAATTTTAAGCTGATTACGGGAAAGTTAATTTTATATATTTATGTTTCTAGGTTCAAAATTATAGATGATTCAAAAAGTACCTTCTAAAAAACGAAAACGTACTAAACGTACTTTTATAGATTATCATTTACTCCGGGATCTATATGACTAGGTTCAATATTATAGAAAATTCATTCATACCTTTTGAAGAACGAAAACTCTGTTCTGAAAACTTTGAGTTTCACAATTTTAACTGTCTCTTTACTTACTAAGCTCATGCTAGAGTAATGCGATGGACCTTACATATGAAACCTCGCTCTCTAGCTTAATGATGCGAACTATACAAGGAAATAAAAGTTCTCGCGATTATAAAGGCGCCACTCGAACTTCAAAACATATGTATATATGTATATTAGCCGCAAAGTTTTCCAAATGTCCCCTCTGACGTGTTCACCTGTTCGGCCAACTCTGCTATTGGATTAGGTCAAGAAGTATTACAATTTCTAAACCTTGACCATGAAATAGGTCCAACAGGAATATAAATAAGTATGTATGGAAGTCCGCTTTGTTTGGTTGGTTTGTAATATGGTACAAATTTTGTCACTGAATTTTCGACCAGTTCTCGTAGCCCGATTCAGTTGAAATTTAGCACACATACCATATAACAATCTTATGTTATGTTAGAAAAATCTAAATTAATTTCAAAAATTCGAAGTTATCAGAGCTGCCACAGATTTCCATTCCGATCGAAAGTGGAATTATTTACGTATTTTTGCTTCTTTATAAAAATTGGAATAGAAATATATACGATTCTGGTTTTGATAAGCTAAACAGAATCAATTTTAAATAAAATCAATATAATTAAAATTTTTTGTGAACTAACTACATAATTCGAAATTTGAAGAAGCTAAAACAAAATCGAACGGAATAATAATACGGAATTGAAACCATTCCGATCGAAATGTGTGACAGACCTGTATGTTAGTATGTTGTTGAAAATTTTAACTAAATTTTAACCACTTCTTCTAGCTCAAATATACTGAAATTCGTCATATACATACATAAAAGGTATGTATACAGCCTGTGGTTTGTGAGTTTGAAAAGTTGGTAAAGAGTATATAAGGTTCGTCAAAAACGATTATAGAACAATTGATAATTATTGATCTTCTTAATAGATTTGTTTTAAAACAGTTTCCAATTAAATCATATAGAAATTACTTGGTATTCTTTGACAGAACGCGGAAATAACTTTGTCAACAAAAAATTGTACAAAATTATTATTAACCATTATACCAAGGAAGATGTACATATTTACATTAAATCCGAAAAACTACAGCAGGTTGCAATAACCTTATATACCGATTTAACAAAAGAATTATCGTTAAATGATTAGGTAATAATTATAAAAATGTAAATAAGTACAAAGCCAGTGTAGAATAAAACAATTAGAAATATTTTCAGAGTTCAGAGTTCTTTAGTCAAGTGATTCGCAGTGTGAACGAAAGTCAGTGAAAAGTGTTTCGTATATACTAATTATTGATTGTATTGTATTGTTTTTGTTATTATTATTTTCTCCCCCAACAACAACAACGCACAGAAATTAACGATAATTTAGAAACTGACAGTAGACGTTTTTGATAATAAAGGTACAATCAAACGTATAATTAACTGTGATTAAATTTATATCATTTACTACAAGTATATATTGCATGGTATTTCACAAGAACAATTTTGTAAATGAGATTGATTAATTTTTGTTATGATTTCTTATTTTAGAATTGGCAATTTTTGTTAAACAGGGTGAAACAAAAGTAAGAGCCGAGAAAAATATGTAGAAAAAAATTAATAAATATTATTATTATTATTATTATTATTATTATTATTATTATTATTATTATTATTATTATTATTATTATTATTATTATTATTATTATTATTATTATTATTATTATTATTATTATTATTATACATATTGTATGTAATTATTAAATTTATTTAATTCTAGTTTTATCATGTAAATACTATGGCGAACAAAATCTATTTTAAAAAACATTGGAAACCGCCATATCAAATTTTGGAATGTATATTAATTTTCATACTTTTAATATTCAACGCCAATGGACAGAACACCAGCAGTGAGAATACTACAGGTAAGATTAATTTATGTTTTTTTAAATAAAACATTTGTTTTATACCTATCATCAAATACATGCATATGTATTGTTAATACTAGAAACTCCTAATTGAGAAACTATATACAATACTGATTTTTGAACATCCCAAACTCTATATTCAGAGTCAAGAATATGGTTATATATCAAATGAGAGGTCTATCGACTATCTTTATATTTCCTATGTACATATAGTATTACCATCCGAAATATGTACATATATTCAAATTCAAATATTCGAATTACCATCCGAAATATGTATATTCAAAATTCTGCAATTTTTTTTAATATTGCTAAAATTTCATATCATTACTTCTCAGGAGCATACATTAATAATATTTTTTTTATTAAATTTTTACTTTTTAATTTTCAGATGATATTGAAATACAAGTGGAAAAGACATCAAATAGTTTGGCATTTACTGTAGTTGACACAGAGAAATATGAACTGCAAAATGTAACATGTAGAAGTATCAAAAATGTTGAAACGGCTGGAAATGAGAATCATATTTGGTAAGAGTTCTATTACAAAAAATTAACACAAATATCCATATATCCTCGACTATAGGACGGTTATTTTTAGAACCATAGTGAGTACGCTGGTATTATGTACATATGTATGTAAAATGTACATTGTACATAATATACATATGTTTTCGCAAATATTAATCTTAAAAAAGTAATAATTATTAATTAATTAAAAAATTTTATATAATTTAAACATCCTATAGAAATTTATATCAAAAACACGGTTGTCCTTTAATTGTCATCATTAATCATCACTATTATTTTTCTAGTTTAGGTCTTGATCCATGTTCCACGTATTTGGCTGTACTGACAATAAAACAATTAACTGATGAAAATCAACAAATGGTTGAAATAACACGAGACGAAAAAACTGAATATCAAGGTAAAAAATAAAATATTTATATATATCAATGTATATTATATACATAATAAGTACGTATATCTGTAACATAAAATATATACCGTTTACACATCGAAATATATAGTATACCTCAAAATTTGTTTCGAGTTTAATCCAATAGCGAACAAATGTTACATTTTTATTTATATAGATTAAAATACATCACTAAAATTTTTTAAATAACCATTTAATTATTACAATTTAATAGAGCCAGTAGTATTGATTGACGAAATTTTGACGTCGACAGAATCTATAAATATTACTTGGACAACTGAATATCGTACATGTGTCCTAAATTATCAAGTTGAAGCAGTAACAGCCGGTAATACATTTCAGTCTACTTTAGCGAATGATATAAATTTTCAATTATTTGAATCTTTAAGTCCCTGTCGAGAGTATACAATTACCTTAAAAACATATAATATAAATAGTACGCTGATTTCAACACAGACAAATAAAAGCACTACGGAATATGAAGGTAAGTGAATCTAGTGGTCGAATCACGCCACCAAATCGTACGACCAATGCGGTGTTTTAATGAATTGTAGACACTGATCCGCGATAATTTAATACTGAATAATGATTAAAAAACATTTTTAGAACCCGGAAATGTTACTTTAAGTATCGTACCTTATGAAAATGCCCAAATGAAGGTCACTTGGGGACCGTTAACACATACAACTTGTGTTAGGTATTATTACTTGAAATGGTTTATTAAAGATTGTGATGCTACTGATGCGAACACTTCACATACTTTTACTCTGTTGGATGATTCCGTCGAAGACGGCAATAGCACCACAACTATACCAGATGAAAGTAATTAAAATATTTGATATACTTACTTGTGTGGAACACTACTACTGCAAATTATATTTTTATATTCCGATTTTAGGTATACAATGCGAATGGAATGCAAATCTAACAGAAGCAGCTACAAACGATTATGTTATCGGTGGTTTAGAGGGATGCGAGGATTATATATTTCAGATCTACATAAATAACAATGTAACCATAAAATCAGAGCAAGCATTTGTATCTCCAGAACAAGGTAAGTGTACTTCTTAGCTTTTAAATTTAAATATTTATTATTATATTTATACAATTTTGTATAGTACCTAGCGCCGTTTCAATTATATCAACCGATATTGGAAATTCAAATATTTCACTAATATGGAATCCTCCAGTTCATCATCGAAAATGTGTTAAAGATTATTTTGTTGAAATAAAAGGACCCCAACAAAGACCTATTCTTGAACCGCCACCCAAAAACACCTATACTGAAGATACATATACAGATTTTGATGATTTAGATCCTTGTGGTAAATACAATTATACTATTACACCTCGATCAAGAAACGAATCATTGGGACAATCGTTTTCTCGAACATTTGAAACACTTGAAGGCAGTAAGTAGAACTCATTTGTCAAGACCAATGAAATGTGTAAATTTCGGTTTTCGTCGATTTCGATTTTTAATTTAAGGACCTTCGGCTGTGCAATATGTTACCATCGTTTCTAAGCCTTTATCGTTTCAAATTTCATGGGAACCTCCTGCATATGCTGATTTATGTTTGAATGTTTATCGCCTATGCGGTTGGGACAATGAGAACAAAATGATTCCAGAATTTGATCAATCGACCCCAAATACATCCATATTCATTGATGGGCTAAAATCCTGTATGACATATACAATTCAAATAATACCAACTACGAAATCAATGGATGGCGAACTTTTGCATATTGAAGAAGAAACCGCTTCCATGGTAGCCCCAGCACCTGAAGTTCAAATGATGGGTGTCTATCCTACAAAATTTGCAATAAGTGCACGTGAGTCAGATGTTAATAACAAATGTGCCACAATATTTGCGCGAATAGTTTGTATTGCACGTGGTCCTGCCCCAATTGCAGTAAGTAGTCGTTTAAGTATGTATATATTTTCTGTAATAGATATCCGAAAATTTGACCTATTCTTAAGATACGTTAAAAAAATTAACATTTTCATATCGTCCCTGAAACTCAAACGGCCCTAACTAATCAAAAATTCAAAATTGATTTTATTGTTGACTCTAATGACTCCTCTGACAAAATTTATCCTCTACATATGCCATTCTCAACTATCATAAAAATCTAAGTTTCACTATTAAACAATTTGTTAATTGAAAAAAATTAATTGCTGTGATAGAAACAAACTTTGTAATTAAAATAGTTTTTTAATCTCCTGTATCATTTAAAAAAATGTTAACTAGGGCCGTTTGCGTTGTAGGTGACGATATGTTTGTACTATAAGTGGAATTATTACAAACAATTTAGGAATTATAAATTAATGTTTAATGTGCAAAATTTTTAACAATTGTCATGTACAATTATGTATACTAGAGTTCGCCAAGCGGTCGAAATTCGACCAGAACCAATGCTGGAAAAATTGCATAAATAAGCTAAAATAAAACCCTATTTTTGTAGTTCAAATCTGTGGTAAAAAATTAACTTTATTGATATTATCAAAGTGTATAATTTGCTTTGAATAATGTTTTCTTTTAGAAAATGTGATGGGTTTTAGTAAAACTTCCATCAGAAGTTTAAAGCCTCAATTGTCAAAATTAGTTATACAACTTGTTTTACAAAAGTATTTCAACTATTTTAAAAATAATAAAAAATAACGAACATTTCTTCTATCGACTTATTATCCCCTACATATTTACGCATCGTTCACAATGCTGGAGTACTCTACTGTACAGTGTACACACCAGTAAAGAAATGTTAGCTGTTCAAAATACAGAGTTGAAATGTTCTAAATAATTTGTGAAAACAGTAAAAATATTTAAAATAAATAATGTCTTATCTAATTATAAATAAATTTTATTTGGATGTCATTAGTAGTCCATCCAACAGGTATATGCTGTATAAATTTTTCCTTATAACACTCGACAAAGACTTCAGCAGACATACATTTATTCAATTTTAATGTCTTCTAATAGAATTTAATAGTAGATATTCTATGAGGCCTTCTAATGGGCCTTTTATTAGCCTTCATATAGAACCGCATAACGATATGCATTGGCTTCCAATTACACACTGATTTTGTATATGCATAATAAGGCCTTAATTTCTCAAGTACTGTTTTTAGTACTGTTTGAAAGAAATCATTAATAAACTATAAATTTCAGTCTTTTGTTAATATATGCAAGTTTAATAGCAAGTAAATGAATAATAAACGATAAATTGCTAAGTACGGTTAAACACTCTTCATCCCAAAAGACATGATTTATATTTAGCAGTTTCAACTTGTATCTATTTTTATATAACAAATAACCATCACATATTCAACTTACAGTTTTCACTTTACACTACTATTTCCTAATTGGTTAGAATAGCCCAAAAAAAGAAGAATATCATCAAGTCCTTGCTGTGCTGAACCTGCATATAAGCGATATACATATCCATTTATTGCGGTGTATCATATACCGGCATGACCAACTAAACTTTACTTATATTTTTTACAGGCTATTTTTATTTCTTACTGACACTGAATCAATTCGTTAATCCATCATTTAAATCTTCCAAATCAATCAAAACTAATAATTATGTACCGCAATTCAGTATTTTTTTTAACTACAACATTTTGTCGTTATGTGGTATGTATTCTGAACTTCATTTCACCGATTTTTTTCGTTAAACATAATCGAAAAAGTAAAAAATAAATTAAAACTTCACGTTAATAATTTTATATTTTAAAAATATTTCAATACATAACTTTTGACATTCTTATATTTTTCCGATATTTGTCTTTAAAATATTCTACGGTTGTTAAAAAGTTAGGGAAATTCGTTAATGTAACTGATATTTGTCATTACTTTTAGATATCAATACTTAAAATTAAAAAAAAATTACTGAATTCCGGTACTGATGCCCTACCAATAATTTTCCAGTTCAAACACCAATATCAGTACATTGTTTGGCATTTCTTTAGGTGTCCCCAAGCATTATTTACGCATGTTTTTATATTCCCAGTTCGTTGTTTCCTCGGGAATGTCCTTCAATTTAACTTTTTTGAAAAGTTTTAATAACGAAAAACTTCCAATCGAAAACTCTGAATATAAAACTGAAGTCCTACTTCTTATAAAAATATTCCTTTCGATTTGGTAACAATCGTAACGATATTAGTTGTGTTTTGTTGCTAACGTTCAAAGGCAATTTCATATAAATTTAAAATTTATAAACGTTAGGAGTTAACGTGTAAAATTATACAAGTTAATTTTAACGTCGATAAAAGTGCTACCAATTCAAAAATGAAAATACAAATATTAATGTGTTTATGTCAAACAATAAAAAAATATTTTAAAATAAAATTTAAATAAAAAAAAATATCAAATAAAAAAACCTTTTTTAAGAAAATGTAAATAATTTCAAGATTTAGCAGATTTCTTCTGTGGAGTGATGCCAAGTCAGGTAATGTTCGTTTTGTTGCTAACATTAAGCGTTAACACTCATTGATAGCAACAAAACACAACTATTATAACAAAATAGATCATTATCTCATTCACAATTTAGCACTTTACACAAAAATATAAAACAATAAAATTCTATTTTCGCATTGCCTAAGCCTTATTAAAAACAACAACAAAAACAAATATCATGCAAAATACAAAAATCAAACAGCAACAGAGAAGTTAAACGTTTCTGCACTCTCCTCTCTTTTTTCAAAAAGCCGTGTTGTTTACTTTTTTTGTTTTGTTTCTTGCTTTGTTTGTTTTTAATTTCAAGAATACGTACGTGTGACTATTGTTTCTATGTATTAGTAACAACTTTAAACTCCTATATCTCCTAAATTTCTGAACCGATCTCATTAATATATATATTGTGCACATCTGCGAACAAATACCTTTAAAATGATATAATTTTTGCCAAGATCAGATGTATACTGTAAGAGTAAAAGGGGTCACAAAAAATCGTCTTGCCTATTAATTATATAGATACTATGTATGTATGTAATATTAATTTAACATTTAATTATCTTCCATCCTAGGTGGCAGAAAAATACGTCAAAGGTCAATTGGTAATTCTTTTTAATGCCGAAATAGGACCCCTCTCACCTTTTACCGAATATGTCTGCAACACTTCATTCTTTAACATTGCAGGCTGGTCTGCTAATAAGACATTTGTCCAAAAAACTGAATCCTATTGTAAGTTGTTCTATTCTATAATATTTATAAAGAAGTTTCAAATCAATGCAATTTGTTAAATTAAACAATTTTGTGATTTGATTTAAAATTTACCAAATATTTTAGCTAGTATTGTAATTTAATTATTGAATAAATAATAAGGTAATTTTTAGCGGACATCATTTCCAAAATTTCGGTTTTTTCAATTAAAAGGCATGTTACAGTTAACTTGTTAAGCTACAATTTCAAGGTTTTGAAATTTTTAAAAATGAGCAAGTTACAGCAACAAGTTCTTTAACCTGCCTATATATATACGGTCTGTGGTACTAAACTGGTATTGAAAAATGAGAAATCGTAAAAAGAAAACTGTTAACCGATTTTTAAAATATGAAAAACAAGAAATGTTATACATTTTCTACTATTCTTGTATAATTCACTAAATATGACTTGTCACGTTTGTACACGATATATTATTTTTCAATGTTTTGAAAATGTACCACACATCGACGATCGATATTATTGGAAATGGTGCTGCTATCTTTCTGCGGCTTTAGCTATAAAAAATTTAATCGATATAATCGGAAACCCAATTAGTTTTATTTATTATATTAATAATTTAATAAAATAGTTCCCAACAGGCCTGAACATTTGAGTCTTAAGACCCGAACAAATTCTACGCTGTCATTTACATGGACGCCTCCCCTTTATGCAAATGGCATTATTAGTTTATATATTTTGTATTTTCAATTTGTGGAGGCAGGATATGGAATTCCTAGCAGATGTAGCGCATACTCTTCCGATCCAGTTAGCCGAGAATCATCGGTCTTGGAATTATTATTTAACGATTTAAGACCTTACACCCGATACAGTATACAAGTAGCAGCTAAGAATGAATTTGGCATAGGAGAGTATACTCCGCCAAATGTGGTTATTACTAAACCATGGAGTAAGAAAAAATTACATTTAATTTTTCAAAACATGTAATTTTTAATTAATTTTTAATTTTCTTAAATTCTATAGTTTCTGATCCAATAACAAATTTAAAATCTACACCAAATGGCCCATCTGAGACAGACTCTGAATACAAAGCCTATGTGATTTTAAGCTGGTTTTCACCTTGCAAATCAAATGGCTTAATTGAATATTTTCTTTTGGAATTTACCGGCAGTCGTCAAGATTACGACACTGTCCACTTTCAAAGAGAATTTCAGGCTGAGTTCAATAGTGATGGAGTTGTCATATTCAATGAAACGAATTTGAGACCCGAATATAGTTACAGTGTTTCAGTTTCTGTTAAAACCAAAGATGTTGATATTTTCAGTACAGCTGTAAGAGATAAATTTGAATCACCTGCTGGAAGTAAGTTTGTTAAGACTTGCTCTTGGTTTTGTTCAAGTCATTTCATTTTGAAAATAAATTCCAGTTCCTAATAAACTAGAGGTTGCCGATATAAATAAATCTCGTGTGGAGGCCTATGAAAATAGTAATCCTTCTAAGACGGCCATAGTTCGTTTTCCTGCTGATATCTTAGAATCCGATTCAGGAACAATTATGTATGTGGCTTTATTATTATCGCAAAAGGTAAGGATTTATTTTAAATTAACTATTTAAAAAGAAAAATACTATTAAATTTAAAAAATCGGTTAAAATTGTTCATTCCATACTCTTGAATTTTAATATTGCTTCTTTGTTGAACTTTGTTTTAAAAGGATTGCGATAAAATACAATTGAGATATGGCGCAATGAATACAATTTTAGAATGGCCTACAACAAAATCATGGAACAATGTTTATGAAGACAAAAATTCCGATTGTATTACACAATATCAAACCACCCCAGCACACTGGAATCCTCGTTCTAGGAGAGCTGCAACAAGTAACGAAATAGAGTTTGTAATTGGAACTGAAGATTGTGTTGGCTCTTCATCAGCGTATTGTAATGGTCCTCTGAAGCCAGGTAATTTGACAGCAGAACATTAGCACGACAACTAATGACGATTAGAACTAATAGATATGTTTTATTTTGTTGTTGTTTAAGATACCGAGTATAGTTTAGTTATTCGCTTGTTTACAAAATCGGGATATAACGATGCCGCTATTTTGGAATTTAGAACAGATGCTTTAATTGAATTGACAATTATATTGGCCAGTGTTTCGAGTTGCCTGCTATTGGCATTTATAGCTGGCTTTATTTATCTATGGGTGACAAAACGTATAAAATGGTACATTAGCATTAAAAGTTGTATTTGTATTTTCTTGATAATTTGTTAATGTGTTTTATGGTTTCATTTTTGGAAGGCAACGTGAATCTTGTCACGGCATTGAGGACTCATTTGGTGATATAATAGCTAAAAATTTTGCCATTTTCTATCGTGACCTTTCGAAACCAGAAAAAATTGCACGCGAATTTAAAGAGTTAACGGCTGTTGCTTTGGATCTAAGTTATTCTGCTTCCGAAATGGGTTACAACAAAAATCGTTATGCCGATATATTTCCATGTAAATAAAAAAACATATTCTTATTTGTAAATAAATATATAATGGAATTTCTTAAATTTAACAATCTTTTTTGCTATAGATGATAAAAATCGTGTCATTTTGGATATCGATGCAGATGGATCTGACTATATAAATGCTTCGTTTATAGATGTAAGTTTCAATTGGTACATAATTGTAATCGATTCACTTTAATTTAAAATACATAATTTGTTTAAACAAATTTAAGGGTTACCGGAGGCGCAAAGAATATATTGCAACTCAAGGTCCTAAACCAGAAAGTACAAAAGATTTCTGGCGTATGGTATTACAACATAATGTTAGAGTTATTGTAATGGTCACCCAGTTCAGGGAAGGTGATATTGTACGTATAGATAAATATATAACCATAAACATACAAATTCATTCTTTATTAAATTTTGATTTTACAGATAAAGTGTCACGAATATTTCCCCCTAAAATCAAAAGGCATCAATGTTATTGTAAAGAAGAAAGATTCATTTGATCTTTATGATCGCACTGAACTATCAGTAACACATGAAACTTTTGGGCTGAAACAAAAAGTTGTACACTTTTATTTTAAGAAATGGCCAGATCACGGTTGTCCCACAGATCCCACACATTTAATAACATTCATACGCAAAGTTAAGGTGGAAAAAATACCCAGTTATTCGCCGATCGTGGTTCATTGTAGTGCAGGTGTCGGCCGAACTGGTACCTTTATTGGACTCGATATCATTATGCAGCGTCTAAAGAATGAATCAAAAATTAATATTTACGAAACCGTTAAGAAATTACGTTTTCAACGAATGAAGATGGTACAGACTTTGGCCCAGTACACGTTCCTTTACACTTGTGCTTATGAACTGGTAAAACATAAAAACACCCGCTCCATTCTCAAGGAGGATAGTAAAACGCAAAAGAAAGTTAGCTTTGAAAGTGATCCCGAAAGCAATTCGAGTGGAACGAGAAAAATTAGTGACATTTCTCGCAACGAATCCGATATGAGCTCAATCCTTAGTGATAATCCAAGTGCTCTGGAGAGATCTAATCGGAATACAAGTGGTACCACAATTCCGATTAGATTTAGTAGTATTATTAAAGAGCCAAATAATAATCCTGATAATAATGAAAACGATGAAAGTTTCATGTAAATTTATGTATGCATGAAATATGGAGTTATTATTTTATTGTAAATACATATAGTATACAAAAAGAAATATAATAATTCTATAAAATGGTGTCACGTCTAAATAAATTTAAAATAAATACTAATTAAACGAATTTAATAAAGAAATTAATTTTACAATATGTATATAAGTAAGAGTTCTATATTCGGCTGTGCTGAATCTTATATATCTGCCTTTCACCATAGTGTGTTAAAAAAAAAATAGTCAGTACGAATTTTATTACAAAAATTCTAAAAACAAAACGCATAAAACCCCGTTCACATGATGCAATTATTCGTAGTTTACGCTTCCATTCATCATTCAACCTCCAATTACGTACTAAATTACATGATTCGCCATTTCTGCTGCGAATTACACAAGCTGTACATAATTCACTTTGACTTACCTTATGAATTACGAGCGAATGACTGTCATCTCTAGTTTTTATCGAGTATTTATCAAAATAAGCTGTTTGTTTTCATTGGTTGGATACAAATAAAAAATAAAATTACAAAAAAATGCAAATAAATAGAAAACGCGTATGATACAAACGTATTTTTGTATCATACGCAATGGCTATCGTCATTCAGAGGCCGAATTAAATAATTCAACTGATCGTGGAAACATGGTATAATACCAGTGGTGATGTAGAGTATAATTGTATTTGCATTTAAATTAAACAGTTTTAAACGCCCAGTTCCGGAAATTTCTTAGCGACTAACATTTGGTTGGCATCACTAAAACGTTAATGCTATGTTTCCACGGAGGAGTTTTGAGCAAATCTAGTGGATTTGGGAAAAACTAGTTGCAATCATGTAGATTTGTCACATAGTTTTGACAAATCCAAATCTACTTAATGATGAAACAGAACTGGGGCATAGCGTTTTTTTCCATACAAATTGGCATTTTTTGAAGTCGTAGAATGCGCTTGTAAAAATAGATTTTATTTTATTTTGACAGCGATTATTTTTATGCTCTCATTTTGAAACTCCCATTCTCTCAACAACGTTACCATATTTTCATACATTTTGTAAATAAACTAAATGTTTTTGTGTCAACGAAAAATTAAAAGAAAGAAACAAGATAAATTAAAAAAATCGTTATTTTTTTTTTGTAAAAAATCTAATAATAATATTATTTTAAAAACTTTTTGATGAAATTAGTGACATTAACGAAAAATTAATAGAATATGTGCAAAAACACGATTGCATATATAACTTGCAATCCCATATGTATACAAATTTTTATTTGAAACAAGGATTGTGGAAAAAAATTGGAGAAGCGGTCGGAATCTCAGGTTAGTGAACTTTTTTTTAATAACTTCAAAAATGTTTTTATATTGATAGATGATGATGCAAAGAAAAGGTGGAAGAGTATCCGCGACGCTTACAAAAGGTACAAGCAAAAAGAAAATCAGCCTTCCGGACGCGAGTTTTTGTTTTGTAAACCTTACAAATACGCTGACAGCCTACGTTTTTTAGATGATGTGAAGTGTAAAAGGAAGTACGAATAAATACGCATTTGTATTAACAATATAAATACATATCTATGTATGTATACTTTCAGAACTATATCTAATGTGCCCGACTTATCGGTGGATACAACAATCGATGAAATTGACACTGAATTCATCACAACAACATCATTAAAACGGAAAAATAAACGAGAGGATATTCAAAATCAAATGGAAAAATTTTTAAATAAAGCAACAGAATCTATTGAAAATATAAGTTCAAAAATTAATCTTCGGAACTTTGGCAAATAAAATTCAGGATGCTAATCTAACGATGCAGCAAATTAATGAAATTGAAAGCGCGATTTGTTCATTAATTTATTCAAAAATAAGTGAATATGCAAATTCATAAATATTTGACCATTTTTTTTGACTTGCATTTGTTTTACTAGTAGTGTGCAACAATTTGTTTTATAAATTGTGTATATTATATGAATTACTATGTATCTATTTCTTGTTTGTTCCCTGATAAAATAAAATAATTTTTAATATTAAACAAAATACAGGACTTTTTATTTATAATGTTACTATATTTGATAAATAATTCTTTAAATTGTCCCGTAAAGTAAATGCATCTGAAGATGAATGGTTCGAAGGCAGTAGTCGTATGTTTTCCAATTCTTCAAAATTTTCTTCTGCATTTTCTGGATTAAAATATTGTTTGTCTTTGTGAAAAATTAAGATGTTGTGCAGAACTATTGTTGCTAAAACTATTTTATCAACGTTCTTTGGGTAAGCATTAATTGAAGTGTGCAGAATTCTCCAACGGTTGGCGAGGATTCCAAAAGAAATTTCTATTCTGCTTCTAGCTTTTGACAAATTTTTATTAAATTTTCTTTTGTCTTCCGGAAGGTGTTTCCCCGGATAAGGTCTCATAAGGTTTTTTAATAGTGGAAACGCATTATCTGCTACAAAGTAGTACGGAAACACAATATTTGAATTTGGTAATGATCTAGGATTTGGAACGTCAAGTTCATTATTAATAATTTTTTTCCCAAAATTGCTCTCACGAAATACACCGCCATCACTTTGGCCTCCTAAAGCTCCGACACCCACATACGTAAAAGCATAATTCGCGTCACATGCCGCCAGCAAAACAATACTAAAGAACTTTTTATAGTTATAAAATAATGATCCACTTTGTTTTGGACTTTTGATGCGAATATGCTTCCCGTCTATGGCGCCTAAGCAATGAGGAAGACCGGTTTCTTTCAAAAAATTTGAAGATATTTTTATCCACTCATTTTTGTTAGGATTTGATAAATATATTTCATGGAGGCTATCCCAGATGACTTGACACGTTTCATAAATGATCTCCCTCGTTGTAGAAAATCCTATTTTGTATGCCCAAGCCAATACTTGGAAATTGCATCCGTGGGCTAGGTATCTAGAGTGTATAAATATTGGTATATACATTTGTATGTACAACATTATTAAAACTCAATACGTACAGTATGGTTATTGAGAGACGTTGTTCCGGATCAATCGGTTTTCTTCTTGAAAACTTCTGCAATTTTGGTTTTAGTAACGTAAGCAACATATTATATTTAGATACCTCCATTCTCGTTGCCTTAAAAAGTGTTCTTCATCCTGGACTTTTATTTGTTCCATACACGTCTTAAAAAATCCGATGGAATCTCGGGTCAAATTAACCGGCCTCACCCACCACCTTCGATTACTTCTCATCAGGGATTCCTCGTACAGCGTGTACGTATTTATTGTATTTTTTACAATGCTGGATATATTTTTAATCACGTCCATGGCAGTGATTGCACTCATTTCATCTGTATATTGATTTATATTATTTCCTTAAAAATTTTGAAAATAATTTTTATTTTTCACAAATGTCATTCTGAAATTAAAATATGTATTAAAAATGACAGTATTTTAAGTTACTCCCAACGACTTAATTATGGGCCATTTTTTTCTGACAACGTTTTTGCTGTAAGTTACGGTCGTATTCTGTTTCATCATTTAATCTACTAGATTTGATTTAAAACATATCGAAAATGTAGTTTTTCGAACAAGATTTGCTTATACAGCACTGCGTTGTGTCTAGGATAAGCAAATATAACTATAGGCTATCCATTCAAGTTGAACAAAACAAAACAAATTATAATTTTACAATTAGTGGCATTTAATAAACAAATTTAAACTTAAGCATAAGGCAGTTAATATTTAAATTTGAAGAAAATTAACATTACTGTCATTATATCAAAATAAAATGACGGGATTTGTTCGAAAATTCGAATATCAAAAACGAAATCATTTATTTTATTTTATTTATTTGGTCTATAGATTAATATAAATCCTTACAGACTAAAGTTCTATACAAATTTTTAGGAATTTAAATGCAAAACAATTTTTCTTTTTATATTAGCATTACTTTCCGAATAATCTATTAAATGATAACATTTGTTAAAATTTTCACATATGCGGCGAAAGGAGTCGTTGTTAGCATACACGGAGCTGTAGTACATTATTTTCAACGGTTGAAAGTTACGGGTTGGTCGAGATGGGACATTAAAATTAATTTTACCAAGCAAAAACTCCGATTCAATATCACCACGGATTAATCCAAGTAAAAATGAAATACCCAGCATTAATCTACGACTTTTTAGTGTTGGTAACTTTATTAGATTGAGTCTGCTTTCATATGACGGTAGCACGAGTGAATTCCAGCCAAGACCACGTAAACAAAAAATTAAGAATTGCTTTTGAATAGTTTCAATACTATTTGAATGGATATTATAACAGGGATCCCAAATAATTGATCCATATTCAAGAATAGGACGAACCAAAGATGTATAAAGATGTTTAGTAATGTATGGGTCAGAAAATTCTTTCGACCATCGTTTCATAAATCCGAGAACACCATTCGCTTTATTGACAGTTACTGCAATGTGATCACGGAAATTAAGTCTATGATCTAGTAATATTCCAAGATCGTTAATATTGTGGACTTTTTCCAACGGCAATTCATCTATAAAATAGTTGGTGTCGTAATTTCTTACTCTAAAAAATGACATGTGTTTACATTTTTTTATATTTAAATCCATAAGGTTTATTTTACACCATTGCGAAAGTTTATCGATGTCGGATTGAAGTAAGTGTTGACTGCTAGAGTTTCGAATGGTTTTTAGAATTTTGACATCGTCAGCGTACATTAATACTTTGGAATGAGAAATAACATTAGGGAGATCATTTATAAATAAAGTAAATAGTATTGGACCTAAATGACTTCCCTGGGGAACACCAGATGGGACCTCAATAACTTTGGAAGTGGCATCTCTAAATTTAACTTGTTGCGTTCTATTGGATAAGTAGGAAAACAACCAATTTAAAGCTGCAAAGCTAAATCCCATTAGCGATAATTTATTTAGTAGCATATTATGGTTCACTCTGTCAAATGCTTTACTAAAATCTGTATATATTACGTCTGTTTGTAGCTTATTTACTAAACCATCATTTATTAAGGTTGTGAGCTCGAGGATGTTCGTTGTTGTGGAACGATGTTTACAGAAGCCATGCTGACATGTAGACACTAATGAAGAAACTTGATGTGATAGATTGTCTGATAAAATTTTTTCAAGAAGTTTAGGAATAGCATTCAGCTTAGCAATTCCACGATAATTCGATACTTCAAGTATTTTGGGTATATTGAAGTTACGCTGCCCTTTAAAGCCCTTTTTCGAAACATTCACGTTTGTTTTTCCAATATTTAAGCTTCTCCCCCAGAGATACTTTCTAGAGCACATTTTGGAGATATACATCAAACGACGGGTTTGATGTATACATTTTACTTTTACTACTTTTTCTCATTTATACATTTTGCATAACCTAAGAGCCGCAAATATTATATCCAAAAAACTGCAAATTTTGTAAAATTGTATAAATTTGGTTTCAAAATCTTGCGACCACGTAATTCTTTACTTATAAATGGCACAACAATTAAATATGGACTATAGTCATTCAACAAGTGTATACAGTTTACATTAGCAAAATTGATTTTCTAAGTTGTAAGCCGCTCTCATAATACCAAAAAGTTGTAAAAAAACTACTTGGTTTCAATCACATTTTTGAGAAATTTTAACTTTGAGTGTTTATTTCACCAACATGGAACTACTCTCGACCACAAAATTTTATGCACGTTTTCTTTGAAGTCTTGTGAATAAAAATTCGTCATCATTTAATTTTCAAAATATTAAATGAAAGAAATATTTAATGGATAAAGTTGATTTCTTAAAATCTAAAACAAAAAAATAATTTCCCATATGTATATGGCCAACACTGTACATGATTTATTTGAACATAACAGTTGCATTTTGAATTATAAAACCTTTAACCCGGTTAATCTATGAATTTTCGAAATAAAAGCCGGTTTTTTTAATGTCAACACTATCTTTTATACAATGTAAAAAATATCAAAAAGACTACATACTCATATTTTTGAATGGTCTAATAAATGTAGATTAAATAGTACTTATATCGGCTATACAGTGTATTCTTATATAAGCGGTGACTTGCGGTTGTTGTCTCTACTTATTTTAAAATGAAAATTTTGAAAAAAGAAAAGAATAAAGTTGTTTAAATCTTTGTCGAACTCTACAAGTTTCAGTAATAAATAATAAATGCCCCTTATTGTTGGTTAAATAGTAAGTAATTAAGTCGGTATAGCAGTGTATATATATGAGCGATTGTTGTCTCTACTTTTTAATACTGGGGGAACTTTAAATTGGTTTCGAATCTGGCCACATTGACATTTCAACGGCGTTCATTTTAACTTGTCACCATTGAAATTCGTTTGTTTTCATTTTATTTTCTTCCAAAAAACATAATTTTTAAATCGTTTACAAACATTTTCCCTTGTGTTAAATTGTTTAAACAATGTCGGAACGCAAAGTTTTAAATGTAAGTAAAAATAACTATTGTTATTTCAGTAATAACCGTTGTTTTGATTTTTAGAAATACTATCCCCCGGATTTTGATCCATCAAAAATTCCCCGCATGAAATTGGCCAAGAATCGCCAATATACAGTACGTTTGATGGCTCCATTTAATATGAGATGTAAAACATGTGGCGAATACATTTACAAGGGTAAAAAGTTTAATGCTCGCAAAGAGGATGTGGAAAATGAAACGTATTTGGGAATACGTATTTATAGGTTTTACATAAAGTGCACACGTTGCTTGCAAGAAATTTCTTTTAAAACAGACCCTCAAAATACAGATTATGAAATTGAAGCAGGTGCCACAAGAAACTTTATGGCTTTGAAAATGGCAGAGGAACAAGCGCGAAGAGAAGAGGAAGAATTGCGGGAAGAGGAGGCCAATAATCCAATGAAACTGTTAGAGAACCGTACCCAGCAATCGAGAAATGAAATTGAAATGCTTGAATCGTTAGAGGAACTGCGGGACTTGAATCGACGACAACAAACTGTCGACTATGATACAATGCTGCAACAATACAATACAAAAGAAACGGAAAGAGAGCGTCTCGAAAGACAGGAACGGGAGGATGAAGAATATGTAAAGTAAGTTTTTTATTTTAAACAATTTATGCATGTTTACATCAAAATTTATCATAATTATAAACAATATATTTTGGGAAAATGGAAGATGTTAGGATTTTGTATAAAAAATATACATACATATTTGAATAACTCAATTATATGTAAAAATTTTTAAGAAGCACATAATATTAACTAAGTGGTTGGTTCAATTTGTAAAGTTCAATTGCTGACATATGTATCTACAACATCTTTTTAGAAAAATTTAGGCAATTAGCCTTTAGTAATCTTGCAGGTTTTATAGTACATTCTAAAAATATTTTGTGGTACATATTTCTAATATATTCTAAATTTTTTCTTATCTAAAATCAGTAAAATTGTACATTACTGTAACAGACTAGATAGGTATAAGTAATATCTGAAATTAGTATCAAAGATATGTTTATCTTAATGGCTGGCCCACATCCAATGTTATTTCATACTTAAAAGTGTCGTAATATTCCCTTTCTTAGTAGCCTAGTGATTTTTATTACATGCTTTGAAACAGTAAGGTTCGGTTGGGAAATACATCACTACGCTACATCTGATGCGTAGTAATGCATCACTGAAATTATGATACGCAAAAAACGGCAAAACTCGCATCATAATAATGGCTGATCTTATAAATGATTAGGTATTTAGATTGTAATTTGTTTCAAGAACTTAATTTTCATACACGCGTTTTTAAACAAAAATAAAACTGTATGCACGAAATGAGCATCAGTTTATTTGTATAAACATCGCGAACTAGTCATCAGATGCAATGCAATAATGCGCTTCCAAACAGTATTAATTTAATATAAATATGTATGTATGTAATAAAGAAAATTGTGGTAATACCAAAATAAACGAAAAAAAAATAGATTTTATAAATGCAAAACATTACGAAAAATACAGTTTTCTCTCATTTCATGCTTCATTAATTTTTTTAAATTTCAATTTTAACAATTTTTTTTGTACTGATATCAAGTAAACGTAATTTTTACAACTATTAACTTATATAAACACTTTTAATTTACACAGATCAATACAATTTAAAAACAAATCGAATGCTTCAACATCTAATAAGAAAATTGTTGCAGAGGAAATAATTGAAGAAATAAAAGATGAAACTTTCTTAGCTCCAAAACCGTCGAAACAAGTAAAACTAAGTGAAAACAGTGTTAAAACCTCAACAATAATTTCAACAGGAGTTCAACAGAAAAATAAAATTCTTAATAATTTAGTGAAGCGCAAACAGCCCCTAGTTATAGTGAAACCAAAAACAAATGAAATTTCAAATACTAGTACGTCAACTGAAATAAAATCAAATAGTAGTGACAATGTAACTACCAGCTCAAATAGTGGTAGTGCTGATGTTGGCGGTTTATCAATGTTAGCGGCATATTCAGACAGCTCCGAAGATTCAGAGTAACATGTGTTTAAGAAATTATTAATTTGTAAATATTTATTTGTACATGTGTATACATAAATATTTTTTTTTACAATAGTTAAATTGCAGAAATAAAAAAACAATTTTTATATTTGAACCATAATAGTATATAGAATAATATTTATTGTAAATAATTAGCATATTTTTGTCAACAGATCAAAGGCACCTGTGCCATTTTTAACTGGCAGACCAACCATCAAACGACTGGATGGTGAATTCAATTCATCCGAACAACCAGCTCCTGCAGCATTTTTCAAAAATTGTAAGCACGACTCAAACGACATTTGCTGAAGTGGTGAGGAAGAGTGCTCCATGCCCTTACGGGACAGTGGCTGGAATGTCCCATTAAAGGTCATGTAATCTGCTATGAGCGATAAGTGACGACGATCCACCGTAATGCCATACACTTTGAAAACGTTCGTTACTTCCTGAACAATCACTTGGGCGGCAGCTTCTATACCATAAGTACGAGCAATGGCGTGTATATCGTTTGAGTATAAACGATTTAAGTCAAGAACTGTATTATGTTTAAACATTTCAACGATGTTAATACCATCGGTCTTAAGTGTCTGTTCATTATTATTGCCCTTATAGATGATGGCGCGCTTAATCTTATCAACTTGATGAATTACAGTCTTTTGAGCCAACTCTTTTATAATCGATAAAATGTTGGGTTGTTTATACTTCATATCAATCTTTAATTAAAAAAAAAATATATACGTGCTTTTCTTTTGAATTTATCAAATATCGATGGAATACTTACATTAAATGTCAATTTTGCCCATAAATAATGTTTCTTATCATAAACATAATTTTCTACCATCGAATTTTCAAGGATTTTCTCCATTTGTTTATCACCTTTTTCATTTTCTACTTCATCGCTACTTTCCTCAGCTTCGGTATCAAGGAATCCTTCATCATTTAGATCTTCATCATCTTGGGCTATATTAAGCAAAATTATGTTAGTGATTGTGTTAAAATACAATAAATGTAAATCTTTCTAACCATCTTTCAGTTCATCAGCGTCATCGGGGTCATCGTATTCAGTTTCGTCCAATTTACGAGATTTTAGTTTTATGCCAGTAGCGTCATCGCCATCATCGTTAGCATCTTCCTCGTCTGACGAATCTTTATCATTGTCGTTAGCCGATTCATTTGACTTGGTTTTTTTATTACCATCACTTGCGTTTTCACCGTCATCGCCATCTATTTTATCATCGTTGTTTGAATCTTCTTTTTGGTTCTCGTTCATTTCAATGCTAAATAATGAAATTATTAAATTAATGGAAATAATTATATTATTGAATATTTCTTCAAGTTCTTTAATAAAATGTTCTTACGTTATAGATTTTGACTTGTTCGACTTGATGATGGCGCGGAAAAGAGATTTGAAGAATATATTGCTCATAAATCTAAGTATTTGTTTGGGTTTTACACAAAAGTCATCACTGTATACTTCACGCGGCAGAAATTGAAATGTTAATTCATATTTTTGCGATCTGGTAGGCTGTTGGACCAATTGTGTCTTAACATTTACATCTGAAAATAGAAAAGGATAAATTAAGTAAAAAAAAAAAATTGGAAAATTTTAAATGATCGTTACTCACATTGCAAAACATCAGCGAGAGTGACCCGATTCAAAGATATTCTTAATTTTTCCGCGGCCTTCTCTTGATTGGCTTTAATAGGTATATCCATGGATGGTGTTTTAATATTGGCCGAAGCCATCATAAGAATTTCACGCAGACGTGGAATACCCAGAGTAACGTTCATTTCACCACGGCCAGCAAAATGGAAAGTGTTAAGTGTCATCTGTGTAGAGGGTTCACCAATGGATTGTGCTGCTAACAAACCAACTGGTTCACCTGGTGCTGCTAATGCTTTAACATTTTTGACATACATAACATCGGTGACGACCTCCTTTCGATTTGGATGTTTTTCAATGTAATCGGCTACAATCTGTTCCATTTTTTCAGACACAGAGCCGAAAGTTGTATCTTGGCTATAAACTGAATTTGTGGGATCAGGCTGGCGGGAATATTTTTTTCGATACAGCTTTTTGCTGTCAGCATCTGCCTTGCGCCACAATTTGATTATGGCTTCATCTATACGACGTCTGCCAGTCATTTCATTTATTTCGTTGGGATTTTCCACCTCAATTTCGTTGCGAAGTTCTGCGGAGAATTCTGTAAATGGAGAGAGGTGCTTTGTGTGAGCCTTTGCGGCGCTTCTGCGTTTCTTTAACCAGCTGCGCAACTTTTTATTATGTCGTTGCACTTTAGAGAGTTCTTCTTCGTTTTTAATCTTCGACAATTCTTGAGGGCTCAAAATTACAGAAGAATTTTGCGTTAAAAATTCTGTACCAAATTTGCTATCGAAGAATTTTGATTTCAAAATATCAAGCCCATCCTCGCCATAAAGGTATTGTACCACCGTGTTGTCACTATCACGGACCGTCAAGTCATAATTAATCGTCAAACCCTCTAAATGTTTAATAAGACAACGTTGTAAATAACCTGAACGAGAAGTTTTCACAGCAGTATCAATAAGACCCTATATGGGATAATGAAAAAAAGGTGATTTAAATATTTATGAAACAGAATGAGAAATATTCTGAAACTTACCTCACGACCAGCCATACAATGGAAAAAGAAGTCCTGAGGTTGTATGCCCGTTAAGAAACGTCCATCAATGTAGCCGCCAGACTTTGGTGATGTTTCAAACGAAGTGAAACTGGGCAACGACTTTCCGGATATCATTAGCGGCGGCCGTTTACCTTCCAATTCAATTTGACCTAACATACAGGAAATCTGCATAGTGTTTACCATAGAGCCTTTAGCGCCAGATAAAACCATTAATTGCAGATTATTACTAGGAAACTTTGTTATTAAACCATCAGGTAAACATGTTCTTTAAAGATAAAAACAATTTTAGTTATATCATTAACAACATTTTAAAAACTGGAGACATACTTATTGATGTCATTAGTGTAGTTGTCCAACAAAGCTTTGTATTTGCGATCTAAGACAACGCGGAATTGAGGATCTTTGATGTAAGCCTCCTCCATCTTTTCAGATAGTACATCCAAAGAAGGAACATCTTCCAAATCCAAGGCCGAAGCTAATGCAGCATTTCCAATTTCTCTGCTTTCTTGTATAATTTTACGTCTTTTCGCATCTGCCGCTCCGGTGACTAGAATGTCTTTGACACCCAATGTAAAGCCCTCACGTTGCAAGAAGAATGTAAATACTTTAGTAAAAGCTGTCAATAAGCAGGTGGATGTATCCCCACCATACAGCTAGAACATGAAAAATAAAAATTAAATTATATATTAAAACTCCATTTAATGCATACAGTTCAGTATACTGGTCACAAACCTCGTACATGCAATGAATTAAACCATATGTAGTGGCACCGTATTGTTGTTTATCTAAAACACCAGTTAAAAGTTCACCATTTCGTATAACAACTTCACTTTCTGACATTTGAGTATTTTTTAGATCTGTGCCTCCTGCAATGGCTTTTCTATTAGTGGTGACCATCCAATGCTGCAATATGAAAACCATATGAATTTTAGTATAATTCTAAAGCTACGTTCACACCTATCAAATATTGATTCACACCTAGCAAACAATGAAATCTTACCTTATCACCAATTTTTGCAACAGAGTTCAAAGATATCGGAGTGTAACCTTCGGGAATTAGATTTATAATTATAGTCGACAAAATCTAAAAAATAATAAATGTAAATATCTAATAGATGACTGATTATACTAAACTTCACACCTGTTTTCCAGACCACAACTGTATGGGTTTTATGATAGTCGGTGGTAAAAGTTTTATGTTTTTCTTAATATGGGATAAACCTTGGAAGACAAGTTGTTGGTAATCATCACGATTGAAGAAACGTCCTCGCAGAGACAATTTTACACCTGATATAACGTGATCCTGAATAAGACCTCCAAGAGGTGTGCCGTCCTTAGGAACCAAGTAATTGCTAGCAACATTAACTAAAGAGATGAAAAAAAATATTTATTTTAATTTATGTAATTCTATTTAAACTAACAAATCAACCCACCTAAGTTGTAAGCTTCAGAACGTGCCACTTCACTTTGTGGTAAATGTGCATTCATTTCATCACCATCAAAATCAGCATTATAAGCTTTACAGTTAGAGTAATGTAGACGGAAAGTCTTTTCCCCTTGCAAGATACGAGCTTTGTGGGCCATAATTGAAGGTCTATGTAGAGATGGCTGACGATTCAAAAGTAACACATCACCGTTTAGCACATGACGGTGGACAATTTTAATGCCCTTTTCTGGGTAATTAAACAATAACTTTGCCATGCTCTCCCTTTTAGCGGCGTTATCAGCAGGAATTATGGTAGTATAGCCCCTTTCATCTTGTATGTAATTGGCACTAAAACATAAAAATAAAAATCGCTAATATTTTATCTAGAACAAATGCTTGACTATTTTTATATTTACCCGGGATGTACATTTGGTCCATTCATTACCATTTTACGTAACTCGGCGACATTCCATGGAGTCACCGGTACAGGATAAGATAATTTTTTCGCAAATATATCTGGGATGCCAACTTCTTCTACATTGATATTAGGATCGGGTGTTATGACAGTACGTGCTGCATAGTTAACACGTTTACCCATCATGTGCTTCCGTATAAGACCTTCTTTCTTTTCCAACACTTGTTTTAAACCAGTTGAAGATGGAGAATCTCTCGACATGTTAACGTCTAATAATATATTTATAGATGATTGTAAATTTTGCCAAGCATTATAAAGTTTTTCATATGGCGTTTCTCCTCTAGTGCTAATGAATGCTTCCTAGAAATAAATATAAATATGTAAAATTCTTTGATGAAATATTATAATTTTGAGAATAACAAAAACTACAAAGAACTATTGTAAATAATTGTAGTTTATTATACGCTTCACCTTCGTGAGAAGGGTATATATAATGTTATGTATACACGGTTGTTAGATCTTACAACGTTGGCAGTAAAATGTGCGGAAAATGTCTAACAACAGTGTCAACTTACATATTTTGCTTTGCAACATTGGCAGTAATGCTTTTTCTGACAACGTTGCAAAAGAAAAATTGTAAGTTCACACGATTGTTAGACATTTTCTGAACATTTTGCTGACAACGTTGTAAGATATGACAACCGTGTATCACAGCTTTAAGTTTGTTTTTCAGCTTCAATAGTACTATACTAAGAATAAAAAATTAGAACACGTCATAAATAATTTATCGAAATGAAATTATACATCTGAAAGGATGATTGCGAACTGAAGTAGATATTTTATATAAATTTTTTATTATCCTACAAAATTACTCTTTATGTTTATAGGTATATTTATAAATCCATACATACCTTTGCTTCTGCAGACATCTCATCAACCTGACCTTTAATGTGCTTCAAAACTACACGAAGCACTGAATTATTTTCAATTATATTGCGATAAAGAGCTGTTTGAGTATGCTCAACAATTTGGTTGTATAATACATTTGAAGGCCGAGCTTTTGGTGGTGTCACTGGTATTGTGTCCATAAAAAATATATCGACTGGAGAAGCATCTTTGTCGTTCGATTTCAAATTAATATTGAGAATGGGAAAAAGAAGTTTCATCAATTCAGGATAGTTATTATAAACCTGGCGCAAGAATTTCCGACATTCATCGGCAAAAATAACTTTATGTTGACCACTAGGGTCCTCTACATTTTCGAATCTTTAAAAAAAGTAATAAAATATTGCACATCAATAAAATTAAAAATTATTCTTACTTTCTATACTCACTTGCTTTTAATTTCTGAAATGCTCATATAGTAGACGAGTTTACGATGTAGATAGCGAATATTTCGCAATGGATTTTTACAGTGTATACATTTCTTCGAAGTTGGACGCTGTAGTGCTGCATTTACTACAGCCGAGCGGAGAGCACAGGAAGTTTTAGTCACATTTACCTTGTTGATGATTCCTTTCTCAAGAAGCTGGTACATTTCCCCAATACGTGGATGAACATTGTCACCACTTTCCAATTTCACCATCGTTTCAACGTTATTTAGCACGATTTCAGATTTGTACATCTCTAATTCTTGTGCTTCCACAATATAGCCAACATCAATGAGTCTCAATTGTAGTATGAGTATTTCGATCTCATGATCTGAAAAACAAAATTGTATAAATCGAAATAAATGACTATTTTTTACGGACATACCTTTTGCTTGCATTTTTTGACAAGTAAAACAGAATACGTTGCACATTTTTTGTACAAGCTTAATAAAAAATGGATTATATACCAGGGCGTTCAATTCGATGTGGCCTAAATGGCCAGGACAAGCCTGTATATTTAGACATGTAGCACATGGCTCCATGCGTTTTCCATAAGTACCCATTTGACTATCGTATAAACCTCCTGGCAAAGGATGTCCCAAAGGATCGAACGTTAGACCAGTAATAATCTTGACCACGCTGAGACGTTTGATTTCTTCACCAGTAAAAACTGAGAATTCCAAATCGCTTGGAAACATGTCCACATCAAATGTTTTCATGGTTCCCATGATGAAATTATTATATTCCTTTTAAAGTAACACAAATATTACAACTTTAATCTTTAACGACAAATTAAAAACTTTTAAAAAGCACAAAAATAAACCGCATTCCAAGCAAAATTTACACAATGAATGAAGAAATGTTTGAAAACACGTGCCAGAGCCCTGCGCCGACAAATATTAATGGCGGCGGCTGACACTAAAAATATCGTCGGCGGCTTAAAATCGACTGTAAGCCGGCTAAGTATCAAATACGCTTTAAGCCCCCTTTACACGAGCACACAAGTAATATGATCTGTCAGAATTTTGTGTAGAAGAGATCGGATGGGATCGTCTATTGCGTTAATGGGGAGGAAAAAAGTACCAAAGGGGGTAAAAACTGGAAAGTTGATTTTATTCAAACACAATGATCCAATTTATATACAATTTTTAGATTTAGAAACAATAAATTTGCTAATGAGGGTTTATTTGGAACACCGGTACCAAGTGATATTTTTTGGTACTTTTTCATTCTCCAACTGGTACTTTTTGAGTTTTCTATGATATTGAAATCGAAACATGAAATTAATAATAAGGGGATTTTTCGGTATTTTTTCGTTCTACACAGGTACTTTTTTTAATTTTCTTTAAAATTAAATCTAGAAACATGAAATTAAGCATGAAGAGCCCGGCGTAAATGAGAATCTATAAAAGGGGACTTATTGGTACTTTATCGTACTTCGACTGGTACTTTTTGAGTTTTCTATTAAATTGAACCTAGAAACATGAAATTAAGCAAGTGGAGCGCAGAGTAATTGAGAATCTATAAAAGGGGACTTTTTGGTACTTTTTTGATCTTCAAAAGGAACTTTTTGAATTTTCTATAATATTGAACCTAGAAACATGAAATTAGGTAGGTATGTAGAGCCCGCATTAAGTGAGAACCTTTAAAAGGGGACTTTTTGGTTCTTCAAAAGGTACTTTCTGAATTTTCTATAATATTGAACCTAGAAACATGAAATTAAGCACGTAGAGCCCGGAGGAAGTGAGAACATATAAAAGGGAACTTTTAAATGATAATCTATAAAAGGGGACTTTTTGGTACTTGTTTGTTCTTCAAAAGGAACTTTTTGAATTTTCTATAATATTAAACTTAGAAACATGTAGAGCCCGGATTAAGTGAGAACATATAAAAGGGGACATTTTGAATTTTCTATAATATTGAACCTAGAAACATGAAATTAAGCATGTATAGCCCGGAGGAAGTGAGAACATATAAAAGGGAACTTTTTGGTATTTTTTCGTTTTTCAAAAGGTACTTTTTGTGTTTTTTATAATATTGATCCTTGATACATGAAATCAATCATGTGGAGTCCGGAGTAAGTGAGAACATATAAAAGGAGACTTTTTGGTACTTTTTCGTTCTTCAAAAGGTATTTTTTGAATTTTCTATAATATTGAACCTAAAAACATGAAATTAAGCATGTAGAGACCGGAGTAAGTGAGAACATATAAAAAGGAACTTTTTAGTACTTTTTCGTTCTTCAAAAGGTTCTTTTTGTGTTTTTAATAATATTGATCCTAGAAACATGAAATTAAGCATGTGAAGCCAAAATGTAATGAGAATCTAGACCCCGGAGTAAATGAGAACATATAAAATGGAACCTTTTGGTACTTTTTCGTTCTTCAACTGGTACTTTTTGAGTTTTCTATTTTAATGATCCTAGACACATAAAACTATGCATTTTCGAAAACTGGGTTTTCGAAAGAAAAAATTAGATCGATATCTCTCACATATTAGCGGTAAGTTCGATTTGAATGTTGAGGATTTTGGAGAAAACTATTTTTTGTTAAAATTTTTAAGAAGCAGGCCTTATTCTTTACTGTTATGCATTTTATATAAATATTTTAAAGAATATATCGAGGGACTATATTCAATAGTCTCTATCTAAAATAACACAAGTTTTCAGGTGAGAAAAAATCTGTTTATTTCGGTAGTTCGTGAAGATTTTTAATTTTTTTCTTCTACAATATATTTTTACGACCATGTTCCAAATCGTTATATAAAAAGAATTTAAAATTTTGCATTATTTGCAAAATTATTCACAAATTTTTTTTTCTACGAAATTTTTTTACAACCTTCAGATAGAGAGTTTTTCATAGAAATATAAATTTTTTATTTGATTTAATATCAGTAAATATTATATTTTATGAAATTTAATGAAATAATATAAACCAAGTTGTTGAAAAAGCAACAGATTATAAGATTTTGGTCCAAAATCAATGTTATATAAAACTAATCAAATTAGTGTCATAATGAGCGATATCTCGATAACTATTTAACCGAATTGAAATAATTTTGCGGATTTGTGTTCAGCATGTCGAAATTAGTAAAAAGACTTGTTTTGCAACAGAAAATTATCCAAAATAATAAAGTTTGAAGCAATTTTTGGATAAGATAGAGAGTTTTTCATTCCGAATTTTTCTTTTTTTTAAGATACAGAAATTTAAAAATTGCTATAAAATAGCCAAACAAATATTTTTTCTTTTTGAAATTTATGTCACTGATGCGGGATAGTTTGCTGGATATTTTGCCATAAAAATCTTGTTTTCTTGAAAATGACAGATAGGGATTATTGAATATTGTCTCTCGATATAATTCAATATAATAGAAATAAACGTCTGAAGTTTTAGTCAAATCGAATAAAGTTAACCCATAAATTGTGAAGATCAAACTCAAGCTATGTAATATTGGTTTCCTCTTGAAACTATAGTGAAATATTATTTTGTTTTCAACCGATTTAAATGAAACTTAAACGTAACTATATTTCTATCATTATATAAAATGTCCATAATATATGAGCAAAATATTCGATGCCATTTGGTGATAGAAAAAAACAGACATCAGATTCGGTTTCCGCAGCAACCAATACATTAAAAATAGTCCAATTGGTATTAAATGTTTTCAAAAATATTAATTTTGTTGGCCGGTGTAATTATTGGATTATATGACAACAACAATTAAAATGTCAGTTTAGAAGCTTTGAATACAATTGGAAGAAATGCCACAAAGTATACAGAGGTGTCACTTTTGACATTTAAAAAAGTCTAAAATCAGCTTTTGTTTGATTTTGAAATTGTTTGGTGAGAAGAGGTATATAAAACACAGCTAAAAAAATTATTGAATTCGTTTTGTGCGAAAGAGAGGGAAATAGTTTTTTGCTCGTGACGCCTCTGTATACCCTGTGGAAATGCTTCAAACTTGTCGTTTGAAATGTGGCTTCATGTTATTTATTGGTTATCTGAACGTAAAACAGGATGCTTTGAAACTAGTTTTTCAAACTATGAGATGGATCAATTATCAAAAATAAATCTTATAGAATAAATATTGATTATATCATTATATTTCTGTCTTTTTGAACTTTTTAATGTTAAATGGTAATAAAAACGTTTATTTTTATAGCATATTTGTTACATTTTAAGAACATGTTTTTTGTTTTTTTTTTTTTGCATATTGAATGCGCTTAAAACACCTTTTTAGAGCATATTTTTGGTTTCCCTATTTATGACACTTTAAACTGTATTCCGGTAGCCCACTTGTATGGGGGCTAGGAGAAATAGTGTACCGATATTGCTTATTTACAATACCTAATCAATAGAGAATATTTGTGCAAGAGTTCAGCACTCTATGATATCAATAGACAGACGTGGCTATAAAAATGTAATCACACCCACACCTGCTTCAAATTTGAAATGTGTATAACCAAGTAGGTATGAAATCTATTTCTTTTGATATACATGTAGTGATCTTATAAGGAAATCATTTAACTCTGGTCATTTTGGGGCAAAAAACTTCCGTGAAAAATCGATTTTCTAAAACCTTTCACAAACTAATTTACATGAATTTTTACCAAATTAGAAATTGAGGATCCCAATCCATAAATGTCGAGTAGCAAAATGGCATTTTAATAATTTTTCATACAATATTCAATTTATTTCTTAACTCGTGGCTATAAAAATGTAATCACACCCACACCTGCTTCAAATTTGAAATATGTATAACCAAGTATGTATGAAATCTATTTCTTTTGATATACGTGTAGTGATCTTATAAGGAAATCATTTAACTCTGGTCATTTTGGGGCAAAAAACTTCCGTGAAAAATCGATTTTCTAAAACCTTTCACAAACAAATTTACATGAATTTTTACCAAATTAGAAAATGAGGATCCCAATCCATAAATGTCGAGTAGCAAAATGGCATTTTAATAATTTTTCATACAATATTCAATTTATTTCTTAACTCATAGATACAAAAATGCACATCAGGAATTAAAAATAATTAAAGTAGTAAAAATTTTAAAAAATGTGGTCTCTTATCCCTTATAATATTTATTTTTTTCTAATCTTTGGTTTAAACACTAATATAAAAATACATTGAATGTATTTGTTTAATTTAAATCATAATATTAAGATGGTTAGCTTTGATCATTATTTGATAATGTACAAAGATACTATTTTAATTTACAACTTATCGCATGTCAGTTGATACTGCCAGTTTTTAATTCCCACATGATCAGTATATTGCATACCATGTGGAGTGTTCATATTTTGATGAACTACGACGGATTCAGTAATAGTTTTCAATAAATTAGGACTTTTCGCCAAATCCATGAATTCCTTCCCTGATTTAGATGTTTTCTTTGAGCTTTTTATAGGCACTTCAATAGTTGGGTGTTCTAGTTGTCTGGGACGATATTTAAAATCTTGTGGCTGAGATGTTGTGGTGTGTTGATGATGTTGTTGTTTGTTTGTTAGTTTCGACTGACGACTGTTCCAGTTGCTACTCGCTGTTGAACGTCTGAATTCATTAGCAACTCTAGTATTTGAATTCGTGCTGCTGGAACGTTTGAAAATTGTCGACGGCCGAAGAAGCCACTTATGTCATAAGCCACAATCAAATTGAGGCGAAGGAGACAATGGATCACGGCGTAATAAATACACACATAAGCAAAGCAGAGTTAACAGAAGAAGCACAAGACCCAACATTACAAAAAATCCATGCTTAAAACGAGCTGCATCGGCTGAAGCCTCCATGAAAAGTAAATGTTGTGTAATTGCCGTATCATCGGTGAGCTGGGAATAATCCTTTAAGATGGCCTGAGGTAGAAAAACTTCCCAAAATCCATATACTTTCATTAAATGAGCAGTATAAGGAGAGTTGCGTACGCGTGTGTTTATTGGTGCACGGTTATTATTTTTAGGCATCTGATAAGAGTTACTGAATTCATTACGATTTGGCCTGGAATGGGTCGATGATACACTTTGATCCTTAACTAAAAGTTGTGTGATTTGTTGAACACTTTTTGAGTCCAATAAAAGGGAATCATCTGTAGCAGGTGACCAGGTATTTCCTAAATCATATATATATTTGTTTTTACTCGTATACGGAACCCAACCGTCGTAAACTCTACCCGGTGTGGGATTACCGTTCTTAATGAAATTTATGAAAGGTGTTCTCATTTTTCGATAAAGTTTTTCCTCCTCGATATTAAGCCGTCGTCGTGCAATTTGTTGGAATAATGTCGGTCCAAATAAAAGGGGCAAATCGGAGGTATGTGATGATCCACCGAATAAATTGATTTTTCCACGAATATCCATGGCATTTGTAAAATCATTTATATACGCATATAACTTGTTTTGAGAATATGTGGCGTTGGACAAAATATTGAGTAATTTATAAAATGGAATTTCGTACTTATATTCCGATACAAATCTTTGTAAAGCTGCAAGCAAATGAATCGGATTATCTTCAAAATTATCATTGAAATAACGCCAGTTTAGGGCTTCTAAAGCATGATAACTACTACTGTTGTTATTGTTCAGACTTTGTCCTGGTAGCACATTTCTCAATAACGTATAATTTATATAAGTTTTCAAAGATGAGTAACTCTCGCGAGCTAATTCCAGCCAATAATCCTGCATGAAAGCTCCTTCATTCGAGGTAATGCCAATTATTGTTGTAGGAAAACTATTTATGATGGTAGAATTGGACAAAATATCTTTTAAATTTATGCTTAATGTAGGGCCCAATTTATAAGTACCATTACCATGATCATAAACACTTTCGAATGCTTTTAACATATCACTCACACTTTTCGATCGAAGACATTGCATTAGTTGTGTATTATACTCCTCAAATTGACAGCCTAGTTTTTTCACTATGACCTTAGATGCTTCCTGTACCAAAGCTACCGGTTGTAAAGCTTCTTCTATATTTCCGCTAGACATCAGAATCAGCTGGTTAAAGGGGAGAGTAGACGAATGCAACATTCCATTGTTTAATAGAGAATGATAGAAAGCACACGGGGCTCCACTGGTTCCATGTCCCAGTAATGTTATTTGATTTAAATTGCCACCAAGACTTTTAATATTTTCTTCGATCCATTTAAGTGCCAAGAACTGATCCTGAAGTCCATAATTTCCACTTAATTCACTATTGCCCGGCACATTTAGCCAACCGAATATATTTGTGCGATATTGTACTGTTATGACAACAAATCCTTCCGCAGCAATATCTAAGCCAGTGATTCTATTACGAGGCCAATCGTATGACATGTCCTCTCCTGTTAAAATTACCAATACTGGTAAGTTTCCGTAACGCAGCCCATTCTGAATAAAAATACAAATCAATTTGTTTAAATTACAAAAATTACTTCAGTTTATTACTAACCTCTGAAACCCAAATATTTAAGTATAAACAGTCCTCATTGGTTTCAGATGGACGTGCTAAAAGTTCTTCTGTCCCTGCCTCATCGTATATAGTATTCGAAAGTTGGGGACATATTGGCCTCATAGTCATGGCTAGTAGGGTTCGATTCCAACCTTTGTGTGGTTTTGGCGGCTATAGAACGATTGAAATAAATATGCAAAGTTTTTACAATCTACAAATAAATTGTAAATGAAAACATCTTACAGAAAATCTTAGCTCGTCTATTGGGGGTTCTGCATATGGTACTCCAAGAAAAGCATAGACAGCTGATCGTGCAGAATCTGGGAAAACTTTTAACTGGAAAAAAATAAATGAAGTGTTATGACAAATCTACAAGTTTATGTTTACCAAAGAATAATAATATTTATTCTTTATTTGAGAAAATTATGATCGAATCACTGATCATAATTTTGGACAAAGTGATATATCGTCCATTAAGGACAAGATTAGTATAACTAAGGTTGATTCGAGAAAACGGCTCCGAATATTCAATGGTATTTCGCTATTTTTTAAATAATTAAATTAACTAATTTAATAATTAATTTAATTACTTCTTGGGTATTACTTAAGAAGTAGTGAATTTGGAATTAAATAAAAAGGACATCCCTCCTATGGCAAGCCTGTGTTAAAATCATCACTTCTGCAAGACTTTTTCAGTACTTTAGAGTAAATTCTACTTCTGTTTTGCTTCTTTGGAAGTTCTTTTTTTGCTGTGAAACTTTAAACACGTCACATGTTTTGGTGATAGGTAGGTATGTATGCATGTATGTATGTATATAAAATTCAACACAGCCTAATAATAATCGACTTAAAAAAGTCCAATTATAATAAAATACGCATTAGAGAACCTAAACGTGAACTATTGTTTTACACGCTTCGATTAACAAATTTATTCATAATCAAAAAATTCTGTTTTATTTAAAATTTATTGTTGTCAAAAAAATGCATATGAAAAAAGAATCAGCAACAACAATATCTTGTTAAATACATTTAAAATATCGATATACTTATATAATTTACCTAGCAAAAAATAAATTCCAAAAAGGAGCTAAAAATAAGTAAAATTTACTCCATAGAAGTACTGAAAAAGACCTTAAGAAGTGATGATTTTAACACAGGCTTGTCATAGGAGAAATGTCCTTTTTATTTGATTCCAAATTCGCTACTTCTGAAGTCATTCTCAATAAGTAATTGAATCAGCATTGAAAAAAAATAATTATTTTCGCTTCTTCGGTAATAATTAAACATCACTTCCACAGAAGGTAAAAATATTCACTTAGTGCTACTTTTGAAGTAGTGATAAATGTTATTCTTTTGCAAGTACTTCGTTTTATTTTTGCTGGGGATGTTTAAATTAACATTTTCGTCATATTTGGGATTTTTCTATTGACTTTAAAATAAAAGTAATTCTATTGACTTTAAAATAAAAGTAATTTTATAAAATAAAATAAAAGTAATTTTATAACTCTAATAAATTTTCTTATAAAAATACATTTTTATTTTTTTTTTTAAATATCTTGTATTTGATGATATCGCCAGTTCAATTTTTGTTTGAATTTTTAGATGTTTTAAACTTTTGATTAATATAACTCGAAGAAGGGAAAAGCATAATAAGCTTTTATTTAAAAGCGACAGATGGGACCAGATGACATGACAAACTTTATAAGAAAATTATGTAATTGTTCTTTGCGCTATGGCCAAAAACCGGATCTTAATGACACGATAATTGAAAAATCTGAACTGATGAAAAAATTAGGATTCAGCTTTGTTAAATATTTTAGAAAAGTATATTTTGCTCTCGGAGTTTCGACATTTTTCAAATTTGTTCACCTACAGAAGGCAATTCTTATTTACCCCAACTAATGTTCCTTGTTTTAAATTAATGTGTGTTTGTTGTGCCCTCGAAGTTAAGATTAAACCGAGTAAAATTAATTTATTTAAGAGTGAAAAGTAACATTTCGTATCCATCGTTGTTTATTTTTTTTTTTTTTGTTTTTAAAAGTGTAAATTAAATTAATTTCATATTGGTTTTTTCTTTTTCAAATGTCCGTTATGGTTTGATAATTTTTTTAATAATTAAAGTTCACTTTGGTCTAATATTTAAGCTTATACAATTTTATTTTTATTTATATTTTCCACAATTTGATGTTAATGCTATGACAACTTTCCAAAAACTAAAGATCGAACAAAAAAGTGGACATTGTTTAAAAAACAACAAACATAATTACAAACTCCCCACATGTAATTTAACTGAAAAGTTTTAAAAATTCTACCCCACTTGTTTTCATTAAAAAGTTATATGTCCATACATACACATGCACAAGAGATTGAATAAAAAAGTCATTCATCCATCATAAATGTATGAAAAATTTAGTTCAGCTCCCTTTGATTTACATCATGAATTAGTGACGATTATTTTATTGATTAAAATTCAACACCACCACGATGTCTGTAATTTTTACCTTTGAAAAATACCATTTTTGCTATTTTATTCTATTAGTTTTCAAGCGTTGTTTTACATAAATATATGTAGTTTAGATTATGTTAATATATAAATGTATGTATGTATGTAGTTATAAACAGAATTATTTTCAAGGTTAGAAATGTTGAAAAGGTAATGGTAACAAATTTTCCTAATTTCGGCAACGATATTGATTTTTTAACATTTGTTCATCATTCAACGAAAAACATATTTTAAAAATACATACATATATAGTTCAACTCTTATACGAAAAATAATTCGATATCACCTAATAAATTTTTTAAAATGAACAAGGATAAATAATCTTGAAAATCATAGCAATCGTCCCACAAATTGTTATATCTCCCATATATAATATGTTTATATCTCAGAAAATTTATTATTCGCTAATATATCCATAGAAACTATTAAAACAATTTGTTTCCGGATCGGTTCAATAATTGACTATAGAACCGATATAATGTCCACTACCATAAGTTAACATGACCTTACAGGTGGACATAGCAGTCGAACTAGTTTAGATATGGTGAAAGTAATTTTTTATCATTATATTAAGGAAAAATCTATTAGGTGTTATTTACTTTTAGATGTACATATATTTTTTTGTTATAATATCGAACATTTATCCAAAAGCAACCAAATCTGAACTTTAGATTCTCAAGCGTAACGCGCCAAATTGTCAACGCAGCTATGACACTCACACTGTTATTTAACATTAAGAGCAATCGCATAACACTGTACATTAGGGTGGATCGAAAAAACATTTTTGGCTAGAATCAATTTTCTAATAGTGAAATTAAATATTTACATATTTATATATTTGCCAATTACGAATTATTTTCTAACTTAATTTACCGCCTATAACCATACAATTAGCTGAAAATTCTGTTTAACTCATATTACAGAAAATTAGTTTATTGTCAATAATATTTTTTATAAAATAAAATTCGATAAAATGTATTTTCTGGAAGATATTAGATATATGTAATAGTGTTACATATTCGGTCCATGATTCAATTAAACTCCTTAATTCCGAAATTAAGTTTAAATTTATCACACATGCATTTGAGGTGGGTATATAAGACTAGGCTCTCCTACTTGTTATTCAATTATTTAAGAAAGGATACTTTATACTACTTTATAGTTTGATGTTTCCAGTATAAAAAGAAAATTTTGTACATAAAACATATGTATATAATTTGTAGTAAAAATAGCAGAGTACGAAACGTTTGCAATTGTTTTGTTTTGATCTTTGCAGTGAGTAAAACAGAAACAAAACCAAAACAACAAAATCGATTTTCTCATTTGGTTTTGTATTGTTTTTGCTTTTGAGCACATCATGTTCATTAATTCAAATGTACGCAGCTAGAAAAGAAAACAATGGGAGCAAAACAGAAAAGTTTTGAGCGAAACATTTGAGCAAAAGTTTCCTGATGGTTTTGCTCATTACAAAAACATTTTTGAGTAAAATTAAAAGAAGACTTGTAGGTTTAAGTTTTTGTAGATGCCTATGTGGAATACAGTAGTAATAAAAACAAAAACAAAACAAAAACCGTACAAATTAAATGAAATCCACACACATGATTCTTAATGATTCTTTTAAGCCCCCTTCACACGAGCACACAAGTAATATGATCTGTCAAAATTTTGTGTAGAAGAGAACGGATGGGATTGAAAATTTGACAGTCGTATGGCTCTCTTCATTTTTTGAAATGATTCAAAAAACAAGCAAGTCGCATTAGATCAGGGATGTATTTTTATGTAAACACATACAAAAAAAGTGAAACAGCTGTTCCATCTTACTTTGTTATTGTTTTATACCAATCGTGTAAACACAAAAAATATAAATCATGCGACTTTTATTCTCTTTTTATACCCTCCACCACCATCAGTGGTGATAGAGGGTATATATAACTTTGTCATTCCGTGTGTAACACCAAGAAATATTCATCTGAGACCCAACAAAGTATATATATTCTGGGTCCTTATCAAATTCTGAGTCGATTTAGCTATGTCCGTCTGTCCGTCTGTCTGTGTAAAACACGCTCACGATAAAACGAAGCAATAGAGCTTAACCAAATTCACCCAAAATGTTCTTTATTTTCCTAAGTTGTTTGGTATTGCAAATGGGCAAAATCGGTTCACACCGGGAAAAGTTATGAATCAAAATTTAAAACAACCTCGGAAAAAAATAAGCATTTTTTACACATTCTGATGTAGTTTTCTCGAAAACTATGCAAGATAATTCCATGGAAATCACCATACATTCGTTTCTGCACAAGATCTTGATCCCTGCTGAAAATTGTCAGAATCGGTCTACAATTTCATATACCTCCCATACAAAAGTACATATTCCCGGAAAATGGGTTTTTTGTTAATAACTTCCGCCACAATGTCGATATCTTCACAAAATTTTACAAATTAAAATCTTATGTCAATAGAAGTCTTTCAGAGGAAAAATTTTATGGATCGGTCCATAATTGGACATAGCTCCCATACAAGGTCCCCTCCCGAAAATCACTTAAACGCGCATAACTCATTACTAAATTAAGATATCCAAATAAAATTTGGTATAAGTATTGCCCATATGCATAGAAATATTACTGCGAAAGTTTTTTCCGATCGATCCATAATTGGTCATAGCTCCCATACAAGGTCCCCTCCCGAAAATCACTTAAACGCGCATAACTCAGTACTAAATTAAGATATCCATATAAAATTTGGTATAAGTAATGCCCATATGCATAGAAATATTACTGTGAAATTTTTTTTCCGATCGGTCCATAATTGGTCATAGCTCCCATACAAGGTCCCCTCCCGAAAATCACTTAAACGCGCATAACTCAGTACTAAATTAAGATATCCATATAAAATTTGGTACAAATATTACTCATATGCACAGAAATATTGTTGTGAAATTTTTTTCCGATCGGTCCATAATTGATCATAGCTCCCATACAAGGTCCCCTCCCGAAAATCACTTAAACGCGCATAACTCATTACTAAATTAAGATATCCAAATAAAATTTGGTGTAAGTATTGCCCATATGCATAGAAATATTACTGTGAAAGTTTTTTCCGATCGGTCCATAATTGGTCATAGCTCCCATACAAGGTCCCCACCCGAAAATCACTTAAACGCGCTTAACTCATAACTAAATTAAGATATCCATATAAAATTTGGTACAAATATTACTCATATGCACAGAAATTTTGTTGTGAAATTTTTTTCCGATCGGTCCATAATTGATCATAGCTCCCATACATGGTCCCCTCCCGAAAATCACTTAAAGGCGCATAACTCATTACTAAATTCAGATATCCATATAAAATTTGGTACAAGTATTGCCCATATGCATAGAAATATTACTGTGAAATTTTTTTCCGATCGGTCCATAATTGGTCATAGCTCCCATACAAGGTTCCCTCCTGAAAATCACTTAAACGCGCATAACTCATTACTAAATTAAGACATCAATATAAAATTTGGCACAAGTATTACTCATATGCACAGAAATATTACTGTGAAAATTTTTTTCGATCGGTCCATAATTGGTCATAGCTCCCATACAAGGTCCCCTCCCGAAAATCACTTAAACGCGCATAACTCATTACGTAATTAAGATATCCATATGGTACAAATATTACTCATATGCACAGAAATATTACAGATAATTTTTTTTCCGGTCGGTCCATAACTGGTCATAGCTCCCATACAAGGTCCCCTCCCGAAAATCACTTAAACGCACATAACTCATTACTAAATTAAGATATTCATATAAAGTTTGGCAAAAATATTGCTCATATACAGAGAAATATTACTGTGAAATTGTTTTCCTATCGATCCATAATTGATCATAGCTCCCATACAAGGTCCCTTTCAGAAAAATACTTGAAGGCACATAACTCATTACCAAATAATGATATAAATAAATACTATTTTTGTTCATAAATACTATTTTGTAATGCAAAAAGCACTTAATGCTATTTCAAAAATTTTTCACGATCGGTCTATATTTGGTCATATCTCTCATACTAGGTCCTGCCCCTAAAAGCGCTTTAACCGTATTTAACTATTTGCATTATCAATTTGTAGAACAAAATTATATATATGTATGTATTTTTAAAATCCTTAAATCTTTCACACACATGCATACATGCAAATACGAGATATCGCTAAAGCATATCTTAGGGCGCTATAAAAATTTAAATGAAAGTGGCGTTTCTAATGTTCAATAAATCTTGGAATTGTAGTAGATTTAAGCTGTTTAAATCTTGGGATTTCTCTATTTAAGACATGAGAAAACTTATTTCTACAAATATTTTATTAATTAGAAATGTATTAATACAAAAGTTGCTGGTGGAGGGTATTTAAGATTCGGCTCAGCCGAATATAGCACTCTAACTTGTTTGTCATACGGATAGAATTTCATTTAACTTTTTCATTAGACTTGTTGTACGTAAAATGTGACCGTGTGAAGGGCCCTTTATAAAATACGTTTCTGCATTTGTTTTGTTCTCAAAAGTACGATTGTAAAGGCAAACAGCAGCAAGTAGATGAGCGAAAAGCCAATTGCTCTTTCTCACTTAAAAAGTATTTGTTTTAGTTTTGCTCATGTACAAAACGATTTAAAAATTCTGAAAAGTTTTGTACATTATGGAAACGTGTGCGAGATGTTTCTGAAAAATAGTATATTTTTCTAATTGTAAACGCATATCTAAACAGTGGGACCGATGAGATACAACATAATTTCACTTTTAGAAATAGCTTCAAGCTAAATATTTTTTTTCGACCCGCCCTAATATACAAACATATGTATGTATGTAATTACTTTGTACATAAAAAACAGTGGACTAATGTAGGAAAAGTATTTGTTGTTGTTATGATTCTTTCATGCGTAGTTCCTATTACTGATAAATTACCATAGAGGTGGTGGTGAAAATTGTTGAAAAAGTGAGAATGCAGTGTTAACTCAAACATATTTTGAAACAAATAATCAATTGCTGTGTATATAAAATTTGTAATAAACAAATTTAATTACTTTAAAGTTTTAAAATTTGGTAAAAAATTGTTTCAGAACCCGAGGAAAGAATGTTTTACCTGATTGTAAAGAGTTTCCAATTGATAAATTAAGAAAAATCAAGAAAGAAAGTATAGTCGATCATTGGCAACCGTATTTGGGGGTTCGGTTGTGTTTAGTTCAAATTTCGAAATATGTTTTATATCTCCGTTCATAGCTTAAATATGTACATATTATGTATGTACCCAGCAAAAACTTTTATTATCAAGTAATGAGTTAAAATGCTAAAATTTACTTACACAAAAGCATTTTAAGTCATTATTTTAACTCGGTGATGTCATTGGGAACAAGTACTTACCACAATTTAGAAATTATTACAAAAACAAGTCACTGTAAATCATATTGAAAAAAGTATACAGCTTATATAGTATCAAGATGAAGATGACTAACAAATTACAAACTACTACTACTTCTATGTAATCAGGACTATATTTAATAGTCATTGAAGATTATGTTAATAGGTAAGTGGTTACAATTGAAAGTCATTACCAAGTTGTTGCTAAGTATTTAAGTTAGTTTTCTCATCTGGTCAATGTCTTACCTCTACAAGGGTTCATTTACAATTATAGTTCTATCTTGGTAATAATTCAGGTCCCACAAAAAAAAAAAACAATTTGTTATACATATAAGTTTTTAGCATTAAATTGCCATTTACGTATTTATGTATCACATTTTTTCTTTTGGTAATTTTTAAAATCTTTTGACATGCAATTGTATTTGTCACTTAATAGTAATTTAAATAAGGGCAGCATTAGTTTTAAAATAACACTTGTACAGCTCAAATGCTGTTTCACAGTTATCGGCTCCCTTAATATCATTACATTGGGCCATGGCGGCGCTGACTTTATCAGCTCCAAAGATACCTCCCAATTTAGCAGATATTACAGCGTTCTGGACTTGGCCATTGACTAAAAGGCCAGCTTTTTCTAGGAAACAGTTGGTGAAGCATTTGGCATTTTGATCGGCATTCGAAAATTGACCAGTTTTCAAGGCTTGTATAGCATTTTTATCTACAGAATTTTCCTGGGCACACACAGCAGCGTATTCAAGTATACGTTGTTTTTGTTCTTCTGGAATTTGAACAGGCTGAAGAAAAAAACATAAAAAGTTATATTCAAAATTATTTTACTATATATAGTAGTATATTTTACTATTATCTGAATTATATAAATTTCTAAATACATACATACATATTTTACTTACACTTTGAGCATTTACTACACCGGCGGCGGCAATTGTTAAAACTGCAATGACGACTAAAAATTTCATTGTTTAAAAATGCAATTGTTTGTTCTTCACAAGTTTATGGGTAATAAAATACTGTTTTTGATATTTCTAGATACAGCTATTTATACTGAATTTATTGTTTTAAAATGAGTTTTTTTAATATATTTTTTTATTAATTAATTTCAATGTCTTCATTTAAAACTGGTTTTAACTAAAATTTGCTAAGTTAAAAATGTCTTAAACAAAAGGTTGATATCAAATTGCTTAATTGCAATTTTGGCTAGATTCACAATGTGTAAAAGTAAAAAAACTGTAAAAAAATCTATTTACATATCCATAAACTATAATGTAAATATAAAGCCACAATACATAAACAATATTTGAACTGTTGAACTTTTGATAACTATTAAATGTTAAGAATTCAAATACCACTAATAGAATAAGTATTTAAACATCTTCGAAGAGCTCAATTCATAATGTTTTTACTCACAAAAGGACTCTCACTAATGTATGTATTAACTATAAAACAAGTTTCATTATTTAAGAGGAAAACGACTTTTTAAGTAGTTTATATCCAAACGGAATCTATGATCGATAACAAGACTAGGCTGGAGGCTAGAGGATATGGAGGAGACAATGAAACTCCTAATGGACTCTCATTTCCCACCTGGTATATTGAGTACTATAAATGAACCGATATTGGAGGAAGGGGAGGCTAACATGGCGGTATGAATTAGAACTTTCATTAACGTGCAATCCTTAGACCAGTTTTATGTCTGTATTTTCATAAGAAAGACAAAAGAAAATACCGGTGACAGACAGAGTTAAGTACTTAGGTGTAATCCTTGACCGGAAATAAAAATGGAGACACCACAAAATTGGATTAGAATAAATATGACGAGAGCATAATGAGAAGCCTCCCCAAATGCATCTGAGGTTAGTATGATGGTACGTATTCTAAGTGGACACACAGGATTACGGGCACAGCTATACAAAATTAGACGTGTGGATTCAGAAAAATGTAGAGCATGTAGAGAGAACAGTAAAACTCTGGAGCACTTTCTTTGCCATTATCAGGCTTTCACCGATATTAGATCGAAATATCTTGTGAGTGATATTATTCCGGATATAACACCCCATGCTACGCTTCTTAAGAGTCAATTTTTTGCTTTATTTACAAAGAATTTCTCGTTTTCTTAAGTTCTTTTATTTATATTTTCATAATTTAACTCGTTTTAGTTTATTAAAATTGATAAATACAAATTAAAAATAGAATATAAATTGTCGAAATCAGCTGACATATTCGTGCGCCGCTTATGACGCTTACAAAAGTAGAAAGCAGATCTACATACTTTAAGCATTCTACGCGTCTGGGCATCCTACGCTTTTGTGCTTGTAACTTGTAGCACAGGCTGTTTAATTGATGTTACATTAGTGGAACAACAAATCATATGATTACAATTGTGATAGTTAAAATTTGATGGAAGTCAGACACAAAATTTCCTAAGAAACCAAAACCCAACTTTGTTGGGTCTCAGAATTTTTCTCAATTTTACACACGTAATGATGTTTTAATGTACCTATCACTACTGACCAGGTGTAGGGTATAATAAATGCACCTTTATTACTCTAATTGATCAAAATCAATTTGAATTTACACTAAATCTACCTATTTATTATAATTTATGTATAAAACAAATGCAAATGAACAATGAATTTTATTAATTAATTAACTATCAGTCAACCAGTTCCACAAATATTATCGTAAAACCTAATTTATACTAATTTAATGTCAAGTGATAAAGATAATTAATTAAATTTGTCTGGATGTGAGACTAAAATAAGAATAAATTTGTATATTTTAAAGAAGTAGTGATTGATATATGTACATATGTATTTTTTAAAATTCAGCACAATTAATTAACATATTTGAACAATTTAATTTAAAGTTAATATTTAGGGGAAACAAATTTGTTATAGTCTCTACATTAGTTTTACTAATACTGATTCAAGTTTTACTTAACCCTCCAGTGCCCATTCTAACACTTATACTCACATACGGTCTACGGATCTCAATACATAAAACTTGGTTATTGTTTACTGTATGTTTATGTAGTGCTCAAATTGCTTTATACTTAGGAAAAAGAAGAGGCTAATCGAACTCAATGCTACTTAGTTTGTGCGCGGGCATAAGAAGGTTAAAAAATGATATATATGACCGATTTTGCTATTCCGTTTGTAGCATATCAAAAAATTTTAAAAATATAAGATATTTCCGAATATAGCACAAATATATTTGAAACGCTGTTGAAAGCGCCCCTCAAAACCTTTCACATGATGAAAATTTCATAACATTTCTTTGAGTAAAATATGATCAAATTTTAGTACTTTAAAAATGACCTCACCTCACCAAATATTGAACCAGGGACAAACATTTTGAGAAACTATAATATATACAAGTTAACTGTATTTATGAGAGGGAGTGATTTTTAAATGGGTTTAGTTTTGTTTTGTTTTCTTTTTCTGGTTTTTACTTGTTTCATAAAAATTTATTAATTTTTCTATTTTCTATGGCTTAAAGGAAAATGTTTAATCTGAGACATTTAAAGCAGCAATTCAAATTATTAACGTACTTTTTCTAGATATGTGCATTTCAATATTCGAAGAAATATTTAGGAAATTTTAGGGGACATAATGACAGGGGTGAGTTTTTACTTCAATACCTTCTAACCTTCTACTAACCTAATTGTTTGCAATAGAGGTAATAGGCCAACGTTTTTCAATAGGATCAGGGAACAGGTCATTGATATTACTTTGGTAGGGAACACTGATTCAGTCAGAATTCTTGATTGGAGAGTATCACTAGAATGCTCATACACCGATTATCACAGAATAATCTTTACGATACAGCTTACGCTGGTTAGCGAAAACCCCTTTAGAAATCTTAGGAAAACCGACTGGGTCAAATTCAGTAATCTGATTGATACTATACCACCATGGTATACAGGACTTGGACGACTCAGTAGATTATCTATCCAGGACTTTAAGCGAAGCCTACTATGCTTCATGTAGGGAGCGGCAGGTACCTAGGAAAATCCGTCAACCATGGTGGAATCCTAAACTAATGCAGCTAAGGAAAGAATATAGGAAACTATTTAATAAAGCGAAGAGGGATCAAAACCCGTTAAGCTGGAACAATTATCGTCAAAGCTTCAATACTTTCAAGAGGGAAACCAGACGAGCTAAGAAGGAATCTTAGAAGCGTTTCTGTGAGGAGCTGGAGAGTACCCTCGGTGGTCACGTCTACGTAAGGTGCTATCCAAAGACCCCGGTACGCCTGGATTCCTGGTAACATTACTGAAAGTACTGCTTATGGAGACACACATTCCGGGTTGCAGAGATGATGAAAATGAAGGCCCCACTTTGGAGCACCTCGCTGCTTCTCGAATCCACATAAGTGAATTAGTCAGTTCCATTGTTAGTATGGGGAAAATTTCATGGGCGGTGTCATTCTTCGAGACCTATAAATCTCCGGGGACAGATGGCATATTCCAGCACTACTCCAGAAATCGATCGACCATCATGCCATGGCTAATTATGATATTTAGGAGCAGCCTGGAAACAGGATATATTTCTAAAATATGAAGAGAGGTTACAGTGGTATTTATCCCCAAAGCGGGAAAAGTAAACCGCCAAAGACTATAGACTGATCGGTCTGTCATCGTTTTTATTGAAAACATTGGTCGACATCCATGTCAGGAATATCATCTATCCTGATAATTTCTGTAGGACACAACACGCATACCTGAAAGGGAGGTCAGTGGAGACAGCCTTACATGACGTTGTCGGAACCATAGAGAAGGCACTTGACATAAAAGAATATGTTATGGCATCTTTCTTAGACATTGAAGGTGCGTTTAACATCGTGAACATATCCGCAATAGTTGATGCACTAGGTGTTGATCAGCGGATAAAAAACTGGACATAATACATAATTAAGAGCAGGGCCATTAACTCTAATATGGGTATTGGCATGACAAGGAAAGTTGTGACAAGGGAAATTTCTTCCCACAATAAGTGAACTCATGGAATCAGCCCTTAGTGTTCTACTATCATGGCCCAAGGAAAACGGTCTGGGTGTCAAACCGGCCAAAACTGAACTGGTTCTTTTCACCAGAAGGTACAAAATTCCAGAATTCAGACGTCCGCGTTTGGATGGTACTATTCTAAATACCTCAAGCGAAGCCAAATATCTTGGCGTAATTTTAGACCCTAAGCTCACGTGGAAACGTAATGCTGAGAGTCGAATGAAGAAAGCATTATGTGCCTTCTATATATGTAAGGAAACCTTTGGGAAAAGATGGGGTCTTAAACCATACATTGTGCACTGGATGTACACCCCGGGTATAAGACCTATTCTGACCTACGGAGCTCTTGTTTGGTGTAGAGCGGTGGATACCAAGACTTATCTGTCCATTCTAAACAAGGCACAAAGATTAGCATGTCTTGCAATCACCGGCTGTTTGAGCTCCACCCCTCAGGCTAGTCTGGAGACGATGCTTAACATAACTCCCCTTGATATATACATCAAATGCATTTCTGTTAAATCTGCTCTACGACTTAAACAGTCGAACTGATTGAAGCACGACCGCATTTGTCATGGCACCATCCTGCAAAAGATAGGCAGGCCAGTCATGGGGCACGAAACAGACTACATTCTATCTACACTGAATTTTAATAGGTCATTCAGGACAACAATACCAACAATGGATGATTGGGCCGCGAACACTGTCCTAAGGGACGACGTGATCTCAATCTATACTGATGGATCAAAGACAGAAAGAAGCACGGGATCGGGAATCTTTTCCGATAAACTAAATCTTCTACTGTCTCTTCGACTACCTGACACCTGCACGGTCCATCAGGCAGAGATATATGCCATCTATACAGCCGCGAGAAGAATCCGGGAACTAAAAATTCGGCTATATATATATACTTGGACAGCCTTGCATCAATCAAGGCTCTTAATTCCAATGTTATTAAGTCGAAATGTCTTCTCAATTGTATTCAATCATTGGCACAACTAACACAACATCATATTGAGTTGATATGGGTTCCAG